TAGGGTCTCACATTAACCATTGTCTTTTAAAAAAAGATGAGGCCCTGATTCCTTAAATCAAATAAAGATACAGACTCTAGTTTCTTGCCTGTTCCCTTTCATACTTAACACATACTCTAAGTGCTCTCATCACATACATTTTGCCAATAGGAAAGTTTAGGCAGAGACAGGTGAAAAGGCTGGACCCAGCTGACATAATTTACAGTAGGAGCAAAGACAGGAGGAATAAGATAAAAAAAATGCAGACGTAGGCTCCCCAAGCGAGGTAGGTATATAATGCCCCTACTAGCGAGAGAAAACTGATTAGCACTAAATAAGGAAAATCCTGAAATTTCTTAACATCTAAATGAGCCATTAAAATTCAACGATACTGGATTAATCACATCATTCAAAGCCTTGCATTGTGATTTTTAGAAAAGCAGTAATCACTCTTTACCAAGTACCTGTTAAGGGCTAAACACGTAGGATCTCATTTCGTCCTTCCTACCTCCACATGACAGGTGGGCACACTGGCTAGGGAAGTAACTCGACCCCTGTCCTGTGGCTGATTTGAACATGGTCTGTTCATGCAATAGGACTCCTTAAAAAGCAATAGAAAGTTCTCTTCTGCCAGAAGCTTTCAATATATTTTTTAAAAGAATTCCTCTTTTGGCAATTAAAAAAAAAAAAACATCGTTCCATCTAATGATTTATCTTGTTCATTTATTGTCTTGGACTTATTGTTCTCTTCCAAGATTTAAAATTCCATCTTCTAACAGATGACCCAGTAAGTGTGGGAATCACTCCTAGGCACCCCCTAGTCACACGTAAATAGTTCTCTTTTTTCTCAAATAGGACAGACATATACAGCAAATACATATAAATATTTCCATCCAAAAGAGAACTAAGTTTACTATTTGCTAGAATCATCTTTTTCTCCCCCCCCCCTTCATTTTATTTAACATTCCTTGAATATATGCCTAAGAGTTTATCAGCCTCGCCAACTGTTCAGCAATTTGCTTGACGTGAGCCGGTTAGTCTAGTCTTTTTTCAACACATTTTATAGGGACACTAAAATATTATTTTTAATTCAAACAGAGCCATGCCACATTTGGGTAAACAAAAGTAACTAATTAAAGGAGACTGCTTTCAATGCCACATCCACTTTCTCACGTTGCTCCCTCCATGGCTCTGGGTGGTGCTTTTGCTCCCTCTCTGCGTGTCTGAACACTTTTTCATTCCCCGTGAGTAAACATTAAAGACCCTCAAGATGAAAGTGATCTGCTGCCACCCAGCTAACAAGGAACTTCGGACTGGGGGTGATTCTTGAGAAAGACCTTTTGGGAAGTCATGGGGACAACAGGCCCACCAAATAAATCGGGCCTGTCTTGACAGCACCCTCAGAGCCCCTTTCCCCCACCCCCCACCCCCCAGCAGGAGTCTGAGCAAATTGACTGCCGGTCTGCAGAGCTATTTACCTGTTTCAGGGTCTCCCGGGGGCTTGTGTGCTGGGCAGTAGCAGCAGTCCAGGATGACATAGCTGAGAAGGTTGAACAACAGCCCAATAATTCCAGCACTGAGAACCAGCAGTGGCTGCTCTGTTTTCTGGGGGCTAATATACCTTTTGATGGCTTCCACCAGGATGCTGAACATCAAGGCCATGGCAAAAATGGAGTTGCCAAAGGCTCCCACCACGTCTGCCCGAAGAAAGCCGTACGTGCTCGTCCTGTGCTGCCTGATATGGCTGGCTCTCAGGCCAAACAAGCCTATGATCATGGAGAGGACGTGGGACAGCACGGCGAAAGCGTCGGAGGCCAAGGACAGGGAGTTGCCTATGTGGGCGATCGCCAGCTCCATCATGAACAGGAGGGTGCTCACGGCACTCATGAAGATCAACCGGAAGGTCCTTCCGGAGTATCGGCCCATGGCGCTCGGCGCTCCGGCCGTCCTCGCTCGCTGGGGAAGGCTGAGCTCTTGAGGGGAGTAGCTACAGATTTAGTGATTACAACTCCTGGAAAACTCTCCTCTTCAGCCTTTCAGGCTTGTCATATTTGGAAATCACCTTTTATAGGCTGCTATAAAACCATAAAACAGTTTAAAGGGCAATTAAAGGAGCGATGTCATGTGAGCTGGGACTTGTGGAAATGGTAAACACGGGCTTCAGATACGGACATGAGGGATTTCTTCTGTCTGTTTGTGTTTAGTACAAAACTCAAGAGTCTCTGCAACCGAATCGCGCAGTGAGCGGCTCATTTGAGCTTTGGCTGTTGCAGCTTCCACGCTCCGTTTGTGCAGTAACTGCTCTGGGAGACAAGTCATCTGACAAAGACCTTCATATCCTGTCTACCTGGGGTGTAAAATTTTGAGTGCTGTTCACTGCAGGGTACAGGGAATGTTCTGGATCTGAGCTGCAGGAAGTGAAAGCCAAAGATGAAGCGACCCTGGTTTTTCTACGGCCTTGCCCACCAAGCTGGAATAAACAGGCACCCCACTGCCAAATGTTCTCAAAAGGGAGACAGGAAAAACATTCCTCACACTCGGGAAAGATAAAACACCTTTAAAAGGGGAGGAGCTAGAGACATAGCCCCAGTTAGTTTCAGGAAGAAAGCCAAATTACAGTGACTTAACTGATACAAGGAAATTTTGGTTTTAATCTTATCGGTCCCTCATAACCCTTAAAGGTTTACTAGTTCCCGAATAACTAAAAGAATAGCGGCCTCTATTGTTTTCAGTAGCCTGCCTACAGTCAATCCTTTAAAGAAATAGACTGAAATGATCAAACCCAATGTTTTCTGAATTTAAAGTCATATGACTATGATAGTTAATTTTATGTGTCAATTTGACAGGGCCACCAGGTGCAAAGACACTTGGTCAAACATTATTCGGAGGGGCTTCTGGGAGGGTTTTGGAGATTACATTTGAATCTGTAGACTGAATAAAGCAGGTGGCACTCCCTCATATGGGTGGGCCTCATCCCATCAGTTGAAGGCCTGGAGAACCTCCGGGTTCTCCTGCTGCCTTCCAGCTGGGACCATGGCTTTTTCCTGTCTTCAGGCTTCAACAGAAACCTCTGCTCTTCCTGGGTCTCCAGTGTGTGTCTGGGCCGTCAGGCTGAAACTCTACCATTGGCTCTTGAGTCTCCAATGCTTGCTGACTCGCCCTGAGTATCTTGGGGCTTCTCAGCCTCCAAGTTGTGTGGGCCAATTCTTTATAATAAATCTCTATTGACACATACAACCTACTGATTTGTTTTACCTGGAGAACCCTAAATACACTGAATTTGATTAAATCCCGACAACTTAGATATAGCCCTAATAATTTCATTAGCATCTCATGAATACTCTCCAGTTAATATTCTAACAGTTAGACTTCTAATACAACCACAATGTATCAAGTTGCACTGAGTATCTCATTCATCCAATCACGCAACAAATATTTGCTGAGTTCCTACATGTCAAACACAGTGCTAGGCTCTGGGGAAACAGCAGTGACAAAAAACCTGCCTTTATGAAACTTACATTGCAGTGGGGGTGGGGGGAGGACAGATAACTAACAAAATAAGTCATAGAGTGTACTGACTGTCAGATGATAAGAATGGAGACAGAGGCAGCAGGGATGAGGGACAAAGTGTTGGCATAGGGGTGGAGCTATAGTTTTAAAGAAAGTCATCAGGAAAGGATTTACTGAGATGTTCTTTGAGTAAAAGACCTGAAGGAGATAAGAAACTCACTCATTCGATGTGTATTTCTTAATCACAATATTTGGTTTTGGTGACATAAAATATATTTTGAAATATCCCTATTACATGAGACTTGATAAAATCTTTTTATAGTGTTTCAGTACTAATAATGCTCCAAACTCTTAAACCTTCCAGTAGAGCTGAACAAATACATTGGTTTAACATCACGTACTGAGCCATAACAATTGTTTGCAGGCCTGGTGGTGTGGCAGAGTAGTGTTGATTTAATTTTCTAGGTATCATCTCCAGTACAGGCGAGTTCTCAGCGTGCTATTGGCGGGGATGGTGCCAAGATATCTCAGTGAGGGTCACGAGGCAGTGGCATCCTACTAATAAACCTGTCCTGTTTGTTCACACCGCTCTGTCTCCTTGGCCACTTGATCATTTGATTTTGCATCTAAAATAGAACTACTTCACGGAGATGAGGCCAAGAAGGGGAAAACTCATGTTTGTTTTTACTCATTCCTGTCTGCTCTGGCACGTCACACAGAACAGACAAGCAATAAATGGCTGTTTTCTAGACATAGTAAAAGTGACAAGCAAAGGGCCAAAGATATTTTTGAAAATAACGGGGGAGAGGCAAGCTGCCTCCCCAAACTTCTGATGCGACTGACAAGCCCCGAACACCACAGCTGTAAGATAGATGACGAAGATTAATAACTAGAATCAAATGTAAGGTGATATGCACAGACTCCCCAGTCCAAATGCGTTCTCTTCGTTGTTTTCTGGAGCATTCGGCTGCTCATCTCAAGACTCAGAGCCTCTCCACCAGAAGCCAAACGATCTGCTGTTAACGTCCAATTCCAGTAAACGTACCTGACCTACGTGTTCTCTTTTTGCTGCAATGAACACCAGGCACACGTTCACTTTTGTGCCTGTCAGTCATGTACCGTTAATGGTTGTCGTCTGCAAGTAAAATAGTGATTTCTTACAGGTATTGCCTGGATTCAGCTTTATGCACCCTCTTGAAAAGCACCACCACTTTTAAGGTGTTTGAGAAATCTTTTGATCTTTTAGCTGAGTCTTAATTTAAGAAAAAAGCCAACTTATCGCATGTAGATTTGGGTGAAGGGTTCCTTCCTTAACAAAGTTCCTTACTGTAGAGTTCCTTTAAATAGTGAGTCCCAGTAAAGCAGCCAGCTCCAAGCTTTTCCGTGATTAGTTCTACTCACCCGCAGCTTCAGGCAATTCCTACAAAGAGCAATTATTTTCATCTCTTCGCATGAATTTCCTTGTAGTACATAATTCAGGTATTTCAGAAACAAATGAATACATAAAACAGTTTTAGTTCATGATATTTATTACTGGGGTAGATTACAGAAAAGTCTTTTTTCCACTGTTAATTTCGGCATAAGAATAGGTGTTTGTCTCATGTGACTTCCTTTTAGAACTTGTATTTTTTTAAAAATCATAAAACTGTGTCTACCTGGGAAGAGTATTAGTATTTTTTTTTTTAAAGTGAGGAGACCTGGAGATGGGGGTGCAGTTCTGTCCCTTAGTAACTACGACCAAACAAAGTGTAGTATTTGGCAGGGTTCTGGCCGCAGACGCACCTGGCCCCAGGCGGCAGCTCGCACAGTGGCTTGAAGGGGATGCAAAGGCTTTTGGCTCCCATGGATGGAGAGCCAGGTTCAAGATCTTGATCCCTGAAATCAAAAGCAAGAATTCCATTCAATATGCTGCACATTTCTATTCTTTTCCACTTCCATACCTCACACATTGTATCGGTTCATTATATTTACCTGGCAGTGGTCTTCTTGATCCAGTCTTCACAGTCAATTTCCCCACAGAATGGAATCTGAGCAATCTAGTAAGAAAAGGCATTTATAACTCCTTCTATGCCACAGAAGGAACATTTGAGTTCTCTATTAGATTTACAAGTATAAACGACAGGTCTCCCAGCCTTTTTCAGGCCATGGTACCCTTGCAAACCTGCTAGAAACATTGCTCAGAAATGCAAGAGATAAAACATCAGGACACAACACAGACATCTTTGCAATACACTTACATGTCCCAATAAAGGGGCTACAACAGAGTGCCTGAGAGAAGGAACCAAGGGTGAGGAGACATGGGTGCGGGCTGCAGATGTCCGCCCCCACACCCATTTCACATCCGGACCACGGCCTGCTCTACCAAAATGGTTACCAAGAAAATGGGGGTAGATAACATATTGTGAACTGATTTTTAAAGTGTTGTTAACAAGGACAACTAACCACCAGGTAAACTTCACCTTATACCTTACTGTTTTTAACATGTTATAGGTTAAGTGAGCCATTTTTAAAGTCCAAGGGTATTTGAAAAGTCAAAAATCATTTTGTATTGGGAAAACACCACCTTTCAAAATTTTTCTTGTATATGTAGAGCATACAGAATACTGGGCAGAATCAAGAGACCGGGAATTTCACCCTAATTTCAAAATTCAATGACTATTTGAAAATCTCTAGCCCTGAATTTTCTTTTGTAAAATATGGATGGTGGACTAGACAAGAACTAAGATTTCCCAGTTATGAATCCTAAAATGTTCCTATCTACTTTAAAATGAGATCTGTCTGCAATCACATTTATGTAACAATGCTTTAAAAAACTCCTGGAGCTCAGTGTTAGTAGTGGGGGGGTCTAAGGTGTGGATAAGCTCCCCACATTAGAAATGCTTCCTCCTCAGCCTCTGATCGTCGACTGCTCCAGCCACACACCCCAGGTCCCTCCCACAAGCTATTCCTGCGCTTGGGACTTGGTTCATCAGGTTTCCACAGGCTTTTCTAACAATAATGTGAAAGTCAGTACAGATTAATAAATTATAAAAGAAACTGAGTAATTCTTCAGGTGATGAACATTACTGCAACGTGAGGATGCGTTAGTTACCTACGTCTCTTACGTTCATTCAGGAAAATATGTTAGCCTAACTGTTATTTTGGTAATCTCCCTTAGGATAAAAAAGAGGTGATAAATTTGTAGGCAAATCCTGGGGGAAAGGAATGAGTGAGGGAAAGGAAAGTGAAATGGATGGTAGTAATATTTTGAAATATTTTAATACAGAAATTGTGCAATGCAAAGTGAAGCAAAAACAAACCTAGAGATATAAGAGCTGAAATCATGCAAAGTTACTTCCCTGTATTGAATCTTGGTAAATCATTAGCATTTACACAAACAAAAAACATGATAAAAAGTGTACATTCATAAAAGTATTGTTTAAAATTCATTACAAAAGACAGAATGGGGGGAAAACTTTAATCACTGTCTTTCTGCAATGATAAAAATATTAAGACTTAATTTCAAAGAATGTCTGGGTAATAAGTTGGTTTCTTAGAAAATTTTACTTTTATTAACTCACAATCCTTACAGCTGTATTTTTTTATAATGTTAAATTTTTTACAGTAAATAGTCTTATTTTTTTTCCTCTAAGAGAAACTTACTAAGCCTTGAGACGGTATTTCTAAAATAGCCATTTAAAAAAATTTAAAATGGTGTAGCATGTGAAAAAAATTCAACTAAGATATTATTAAATGTATTTTGACTCATAAATGGTAATTTTGTAAAAAAAAATCCATGTTTTAATTCTTTCTAGCTTCAAAATAACTTTAAATATGACCTGAAATTTCTATTTATGCATATAGTTTATTAATATGAAAGGACAGTACACACTTTAGGCTATTTATTCAACATGGAAGGTTCTTACCTTTTTATTTTTTATAATTTCTATTATCTATGTTTTAAAAAGATACAATCTTTTGCATTCTGCAGAACATGTTAATGGCAAAAAATATCAGTACTCAAAGAACATAGTGATCAACAGATTCGTATGTATGTCAACAGTAACAATATATATTATATATAAATAACTTAGTATATTTTTTCATTTCATTAAGACCATACCCTTGGGAAAATTTACTGAAATCAAGTCCTATACATTATATATAAATATTTTTTCATTTATATCAACAGGGAAGACTAGAAAAATCAAACTTTCACCTACATTCAAGTTCCAAAGATCCTTTCTAACTTTTCCCCTCTCAGTAAATACAATTTTATTTACAGTAGGCTCAGAGGTTGCTTGATGGTCAGTCAACACATCTAAGCTGACCAACCTAAGGTGAGATGGTGATGCAACTGACTACTGAATACAAGAAACAAAAGTTGCTTTGGTCTCTATGTGCTTTGGACATACAACTAAAATACTGTATTCTACTTCAGAATAGACGTTGAAAGCCCCCAAGTAGCGTATCTAGTATTAGAATTAAAGATATGGTTCCATTAACATCTGCTGAGATTCATTTCTTTGAAAGCAATGGATTAACTGATATTTACTCTATTGATTTATTAACTCTTATGTAATGTCTTCATAGACTGTACTGCAAAAGTGACTACCATATTTCTATAATACAGGGAATTTTAAAATTCAATTAATGGAACAAAAATAAAATCATCGTAAATAAATTATAGTGAAAGCAAAAACATGTGCTGCATCAGAGGGCTGTCCATCCTCTCGTCTTCTCTTAGAAGTGTATAGTTTGAGTCAAGTGACAAATTAGAGAAACCAGAAAGGTGGAAGACTACACAGGCAAGAAACCAAGAATAACAGAAGGCTAAATACTGAAGAATTATGGATTTGAAGGGCAGTTTGAGACCATCTATTGTGTATGTACTCACTTTACAAGTTAGTAAACAGGAAGCCAGAGAGATTTACATTTACTCAGCTCAGGCAATAAGAGACGTATTAAGAGGTAGTAATGATCATAACCAATTAAAACTTTGCCATAATATTCACAGCATGAATTAAAAAAAGAAAACGGTACAAAGAAAAGCAAAGTGCACTAAACCAATCAGAAGAGAGATCTAAATTCTGGTACCAGGTCTGCTTCTGTATAGCTAGGGGTAATTCATTTAGGCCCTGCCCATGTTTTTCTCATTTATAATGTGGAGACACCGGACTAGTTGTATAATCAAACATGTATATCAGAATACTAAAGTTTGTAAGTGATTTCATTCCAGAAATTGTAGTTTTGCAAATCAGGACTTCTTTATGAGAATTTAAAGTTTTGGTTAGGAACATTTGCAATATATACCACACATAAAGCTGATAAAGTCTTGGGCCGGCCGAGTGGCATGATGGTTAAGAACTGGCTTGGGACGCCAGAGGGCCCCGGTTCGGATCCCATATATGAGGGCCAGTGACACTGCCCTACACAGCTACGATGCTGAACAACAGCTCGACCAGGAGCTGGGCTGCCCGTGAGTCGCCGGTGTCGGCGTAGGCTGCAGCCCCTGTGGCAGTGGGTTGCCATGGGCTACCGTGTGTAGCCAGCAGCCAGCGTGAGCGGCCAGCAGCCGCAGTGAGCGGCCGTCTAGACTGATCTGCCTCGCCCGGGAAGAGCGCAATGATGGTGCCAACTTGGGCCAGTGAAGCAACGTCCTCCACAACTAGACTGAAGAACAAAACGACAGCAACTTGTCTGTTCCCCTTCCCCCAATTCCCCAATAAAAATCTTAAAAAAAAAAAAAAAAGCTGATAAAGTCTTAAAGAGCCATTAACTATGTAATTAGAAAAATGTACGTTTTAAGTTTTAAGGAACCAGAAGTACCCACTTATTCTGAAAAAAAGGCTTAGATGTAAGCAATACTCTCCCCTTATTACTCAGAAAGTTCAATCAATTAATACCTGAGGAAATATATGGTCAGAGTTGAAAGCAATGGACTTTTAACCTTATACTAGGAATCTACGCGCTATATTTCTAAAGCTAGACCAAGGCTTGCTTTAGGAACTTACACAAAGCTGAAAAAACAAAAGAAAAATTTTTCAGTAATGAAAACATTAGGGGTCACACAGACCGAATGTTGTTTAGCCAGCATGTCAAGCATGAGAAAAAGCTTTTCTATAATTAGTTCACAGTGTTATCCAAAAATGATATAATGCTGTAACGCTTTCGGAAAGCCAGTGGAGAAGAGTATACAATGCTGAGCAATATATACTTGTTTTGTGTGACTGGCCTTGAAAAAGGTTATTAACATCATGCTAAAGTTCAGTGGGCCTTGAAATACCATTGACTGAAATATTTTTATATCCAAACTTTTCAGAAGTTTCTTACCTTCCCAGAATCTAGCTCCTTCTGAAAGTCTTCCATTGAATTAGCCACAACCATGTGGGTTTTGAGGTCTTTAGAGGCCCTATCAAAAAATAATTTGAAAAGAATACATAATTTTTCTTATTAATATGACAAAGTTTTTTAAAAAAATTAGCGTAATTTAATGAAAGACCAATAACCTGGAAGTGAGATGAGCTCAATTTGAACAAGTAATACTTACTTTCATTATTGCCATTAAGTCTCTGTTGACCAATATTCTATTATATTACTGGCTATACCACTTACTACTTATGAGAGTCTGGGTTATTTTTTAAACCTCTCTAGTCCTAATTTTCTAAGTTTTTATGAAAGTGGAAAAATACTGAAATAAGTCTAACTGTATCATACAGGACTGCCATAGAATCAAATACCAAGGCATGAAAATGTTTTGATAAGGAAAATCACATAAATATATATTATCAAGCTATTTTCACATACTACATGATTCTTTTGTAAGGACCTCAGATTTTAGCAATGAAAATTAAGTATTATTCCACATTCCAAGTCATATATTACATGAGGGTCACTCATGGGTGTAACCAAGGAAGAGAAAGGATATTTTTCTTTTCTGGGTCTCAGAGCTAAGACCATGGGAACTCTGCCAGCGACTGCTAGGTAGCTGTCTACCAAATCTTCTTCTGCTTCTTCCAACATTTTTGTAGTGAGATGGGCCCACATCACTAAGTTATAGCCAATGAGATCCAGGGAAAGGAATGTGCCCCTTTCCAGGCTTAGGCCTTCAGTTGCAAAAAAATGCACCTTCATGCAACTTATATTAACAAACTTACTGAATAAAAACGTCAACAAAAAACTTCTTTTTAGCCTCTACTGCAGTGGTTTTCCAACCAGGGGTGTGCATCGCATCAGACACAGAGCACTGTTAACACTAGATGACCAGAACGTATCTTAAAACTAATAAATCAGAATGTCAACAAGGAGTGAGGCTCGGGTATATTCCTGTTGCCAAGCTTCCAGGTGACTGAAGAGTTCCTGGAAAAGGACCACTGCACCAAGTGCACCATTTGAATGGCGGCAATAAGGACAGGCAGCTTCCATATCTTTCACCTCTAACAATATTACGTTCTGAATTCAGATGGACTTCAAATGCATTATTGATTTCTAGGCCAAATAAATCCTTGAAGTAACCCCTCAAGAGACTTATTATCACTCCCATTTCAGGGCAAGCAAGCCAAGAGAAGCAAAATCACTTGCCTAAAAACACATACGCGAGCACCAAAGCCAAGGTTCATGTCAGTTTACTCTGAAATGCAAGATAATAATTGAGGCCTTGCCTGAGTTAGGCACAAGGTATTAGAAGATAAATGAATAAATAAGAGGCAGGCACGACCCCCCCCCCCCCAGGCTGAGCCTCTATCTCCAGTGGCAGTGGGCCTTCCTCTCTGCTTCAGGTGGTAGGAAAGACAATAAGGTGCACATGCCATGGGTCTTCTAGTGCCTCTGCCTTGGGGTCTGTGATTCTGAACGACCCCTCTCCATAGGTCAGGTCAGCCCTGAGCCCCTGCCCCTCACCCTCACCCCCTAATAGGAGGACCTTAGCTTTGGCTACACCTTATAATCACTTGAGCTTTTAACACTGTAGTTGCCAGGCCCGCTCTAGACCAATTAAATTAACATCACTGGGGAGGGCCCAGGCACTGGTTATTTTTTAAAAAGCTTCTCAGGTACTGCGGATGTGTATCCAGCAGATGAGGCATAAATGCCTTATTTCCTCAGATTTATGTCATAAAAGCCTGGATCTAATATTAACCCAAATTAGTCCATGGGACAGTCTATTGCTGCAAACCTAGTAGGGAACACAAAGTACTTAAAAGAATAATCGTGATACAAGTCAAAAACACAAAGAGAAGGTAAATTAAGAACCATGGGAGTTCAAAGGAAAAGATGACTTTCAGATGGGCAGAATTTCTTGGTAAGCTCTCAGAGGTCCAGGGGGATTTGACGATGAAGACATACAAGCCATTTGAAGGAACTAACCTTGTGAAAAGGTTAACATGGATATCTTCCAAAATAGCTTGAAGTTTAGTCTCAGCCTCATTTTCAGCAACTGTCAGTTTTTCTCCAGTATCTCTTCTGACAGCTACAAACTGACAGCTCTTCATATCACGTGGCCCAACTTCAACTCTAATTGGAACTCCCTAAAAAACAAAACAGGCAGTTTAGATGATACATGCATGTCTCCAGCTGAACATACAGACTTATTTCATGGCCTTATCAACTATAAATCATAAAAATCCAAAAAACGAAGTTCTAACACAAATGATAAAAACAGGTAAAATACCTGAGATATTATAGAAACCTACTCCCAAAAAGAAAGCATAAACCTTAAAAAAAAAAAAAAATGCACTGCCCAAGTGGTTCTGAGCTAAGAAAGAGCTTATGGACAAACATGATGGCAGGCATATAGATCAGAGTTCCTAATTTTTCTCACGTAACATAGAAAATTACATTTGTATGGCCTGCGGGGGTAAACAGAGAAGACTTCTTGAAGCTAAAGCCACCCCAAGCCACTGAGCAGTCCCTTGGCACTTCCTGGACTCGTTTGTGGCACAACAGTTTACAACCCATAATTTTGAACCAGAACCGTGTGCTATGAAGGACACCAGTGGGACAGCTCACAAAACCTGAACAGGTTCTAGAATAGCTGGTAGTAACGTATCAGTGTTAACATCCTGATTTTGCTGGCTGGACTGTGATGTAAGTAAGAGAATGTGTTTGTAGAGTGATGGGGCATCAGGCTAGCATCTTACTTTCAAATAGCTCCGGCAGGAAATATTAATTGTACTATCCAGCAATATAACTACTGTTCGTCAGCACAAAGAGAAGGTGAATTAGGGTCCATGTACTACTATTCTGATAGTCTGTTTGAACAACTTATTTATTATATGAATTCCTGGTATAAATATTTTAGTCAAACAACCGTATGAGGTTTATTAATCATAAACAAGTTCTTCAAGATCAGTTTTATTCTAAAATAAAAATAAGCTTCCACAAAAATGATTTTAAATTTAGAAAATACATAAACTTCTGATATCGCTATTACAAAGCGCTGAAATGTGTCTGCTCATCACTTAGTTTCAGTGAAGAAGAACTCAACAACTATCAAAATAGAGAAAAGTAATGAAGAAGCCTTGCATTTTATAAAAGTATATATAGAATAAAGAAAATCTAAATACAAATTGGGAGTAAAAGATGCAACCGAAGAACTTACCTTGAGCTCCCAATGATTGAACTTCCAACCTGGAGAATAGTTATCTCGCAAATCAACTCTAACTCGAATATTAACACCGAGTAACCGCCTGTGATAATCACTGCATTTTGCAATCAGAGCATCTCTGTCTTCTTCAGAAAGTGCATTTGTAATGCCACAAGGAATAACCACCACCTAGAATCAGCAGAGTATCACACATTTATACAAAGAAACAGCACACAGAAGTAAGGAAGTCACGTTACTACATAATGTCCAGGAGTCATAACCTGCTGGTAACTATAAATCTTAACACAAATCAACTTGTGTGATTTCTAATTTACACAGAATGTCTACCAATTAGCTGCACTGCTTGTCCATGCTAAAAGCATTTCCACCTGACCTATGTCACATTTAACCTATTACAAATCACTTCAAACAATGATTTTTAGTTCTAAAAGAGTTTTGTATAAAGTAGCTAAAAAAACTGAGATTACAAAATTAAGAGCACTAATACTATACACAGTTACACAATGTACTATGTAGTTCTAGACTGTAAATAGGTTGTTTCTGTACCAGCGAAATCTACCTGAATGATATTCAGAATATCACTCTTTGAAATTTCCATTAGTAAACATGGTGTGTATTTGATAAAAGGAATGACAAACAGAAATGGCTTCCTCACCTGAACACAGGCTACACGGGGTGGTAAGACTAAGCCCATGTTGTCCCCATGAACCATTGTCATAACACCAATAGTTCGAGTTGTCAGCCCCCAGGAGTTCTGATAGGCAAATTGCTTCTCTCCTGGTGTCTTTGGATCTTCAAAAATGATTTCAAACATTTTGGAAAAATTCTGCCCTAAATGATGTGATGTTCCTCCCTAAAATAAAGAGAGAGATATGAGCTTTAATTTTTTTTTTTTTTTTTTTTTTAGCTGAGCCATCCAGCTACCTGTTGGCAGCTCAGCAGCTGCTCAGCTTGGGCCGGGACTCGAACCACTGTTCCTCAGAGCTCAAACCCTTGAGCGAGCTCTTAACCAACTGAGCCACTCGGCCGGCCCTTGAGCTTTAATTTTAATAACTTGTTATGCCTTCGAAAATAAGATCATTACACGTGTTCAAATGACACTAGCCCTATTTTATCTTCTCTGGTTTTTTACCTTAAATATGTTTTTAAAGCATAACTGATATAACAAAGAGGCATAAATGCTTTAAATTAGAATACGGTCTAGAAAGTACATGAACTACTGTTTTTGAAGAGCCTACTTCTCTGATGACAAGCAATACGCTGCAGCTGCCCAAGGGCTGTGCTTAGTCGCCTATGACGCCCACGCAGCAGCCTGATACCTGGATGGCTCTTCCACTAGCAGATATGAACGCCTCCACTGTGGTGGTATAGTCTCCGCCTGCAAATTTCTCCTTCTCAGTCTTTCTTCCTTTCACAACAGGAATTGCCAGGAGGTCTTCATATACCTGAGCATATAAGTCAAGTATCTGCAAGACCTGTAACAACATTTTAAATGTAAAAGTGCTCAAATTTATGGTCTATTTATTTAGTATAGATCTATAAAACTGTACTATTTAAAGCTAACTGTGGTAGGAAAAGCTTTTATATTACTGAAAGGTTAAAGCAGCCAGTCTGAATTTATTAAGGAAGACATTCCAACACAGCAGTGTGAAAAGAAGCTGAGTAACTTTTAAAAATGTACATAAATTTAGAATGTAAGAGAAAATTCATTCATTTGAAAGATATACAATGACCAGGGTAAAAGTCTCCTGAAGAATAATTAATTTCACCCATGGGATTATAATTGCTTCTATACACTTAAGTTCAAAAATATTTTCCTCTGAAAATTTAAAAAACTAGCACATTTTCTAATAAAATTTCAATAAGCAGTTTCTTAAGTCCATGTACATTTGAATTCACTTGTTTTGTCTTTTAACATGTGATATATAAATTTTAGGTAACAGAATAATTTATACCAGGACATTCTTTTAATGTTATTTGAGATCAGATCAAATTTCATTTTATAGTTATTAAGTGACTGCCAATAAATAGTTAATACTGCATGACTGACAGCTGAAGAAAGAAAAAAAGCACAGCGTGGACAAAGAAATAGAACATAATATGGAACGTATTGAGGAAGACACTTTTTATACCTCTTCTGCTGCTTCTTCAAATGTAGCAAATGCACTGTGCCCCTCCTGCCAAAGGAACTCACGGGTACGCAGGAACGGCTGAGGGTGCTTGAACTCCCAGCGCTGGAAGAGGCAAGAAGACAATTTGGTCATTATGGTGAGCTTTCAATTTTTATTAACAATTGTATGGTAATCAGAAATCATAACTGAGATCCAAAGTCCTCAAAAAAGCTTCCACACTCCCAATCCTTTGACTATACAAATAAGAAAAAACAAAACGGGCTTTTGTAACAACAAAAAAAAGCAGCAGAACAATGAAAGAACGTGAGAAGGGGCGTGTACCCACCACCACGTTGCACCACTGGTTGAGTCTGATGGGCAGGTCTCTGTGTGACTGTACCCACTTCGCATATGAAGGGTACATGACTGAAAGACAGGAAAATACAGGCAGAGTTAGTCACGGAAGGTTTTATCTCACCTGGAGGCTGCTAAGAGCTAGATCGGCAACATAATCAATAGGAACTAGAATGTTGTGTTTGCGTAAACGTGTCTCCAGTGTTTGTAATGGTCAGTGAATGGTATTATTATGAATTTCACAAAGCGGATTAGCCAAGGAAATAAACCTATCCAAAGGTGACCATATTTTATGTTCTTCACAATGCGATTTACATTTGACATTTAATTTGACTGCTTTTTTAGTTGTTTTGTTTCTAAAAACACTAAGTGAAGATCTTCTAGCATATATCACGTTAACTTCTTTGCATTCATTACCCTGTTCAATTCTCACATTCAATCACAAAGTAGATTACAATTTCAATATTAAAGATGTGAAAACTGAGCTTACAGATGTTAAATAGCTTGCTAAATTCAGCACGGTTACATATGAGAACCAGAATTTAAGTTAAATCTAGCTGATGTATCTACCCAGGGTATGAAAACTCTTGCCCTGAACTGCTAATTTAAATGAAGGTGCCTATCTTATCATGGCCTACTACAGATTATCTAGAATTAGTAAAACAAAAAAACTTTGCCAATCTGGTATATGACATAAAGCTGGTGTCATATTTCAATAATGCATCATTATGTATTATACATGAGTACCACTATAAGCATCAAAGAGCAAATAATCCTTAACTAAAGACAGATAATCACTTTGAAAGACACTGACAAGACCAAATTTTCAAGTGGCACTTGCATTTACTATGTGTAATTTTAGGAAAGTCACTTAACCTTTCAGAGACCTTTTTTAACCTGCAAAATGGAGGTAACAATAGCTGCCTCAGCCTCCTCACTACACTGTTATAACAACAGAAGATGTAAATGAAATCACTTACTAACCTATAAAAACCCTACACAAATGTGAGTGTAATGGTATTAAAATGACTAATACAACTTTAAGTAAAAAGGACATAAAACTATGTTTGCAATTTTATAATCAATTCCAAAAACAAAAATTATTCCAAGAATAAAATTCCTGAAAAGTTCTGAAAAATTATAGCATAAAATAAAAAATGATGAAGTATTTAAAAAAAACAAAAAACCTCTATCCTAATGATAAAGAGCTGTCATGAATATTGTACAGAGAATAAAATTCTATACCACTTCAGTTTGCATTCATCTTTATCAACATTCATTAAACTCTTTATATCAACAGGATTATAAATGTCACAAAACGAAAGCCAAGACAGCTCTAGCAGCTGTTGCTAATATCTCAGTGTGCTGTCTCCTGCGCTCCAAGGCCCATCCTCACCTGTTTCACTCGTAGGACGGATGGCAATGGGCTCTGCCAACTCTGTTTTGCCAGATCTTGTAACCCAAGCAACCTAGGAGGATAAAATCATTTTTCATACATTTCAAAAACAGTACTTAGAGAAACAACACAAATGCTGGCAAATCGCTAATTGAATTTTTGCTATATCAATTAAGATAATTAAAATAATTGCTGCTGTTCACTGTGAGAAAAGGTAGATACTTAACAGTCCTTATACATGTTTAGAGAGAAAAGAGAAAGCCAGTTATAATCATTAAATGTAACAAACAGAATCATAACTTACTGTGAAGGTAGAAATATTTTTTAAATGGTTTTATGTTTCTCTAAACTGGCTGTTATAACTTGCCTTTTCAATTACTATTCAAGTGTTAATTGAAAGTATACTTTTGAGTTTATGAGAAAAAAACTGCAAAAATAAATATAGCAGGCTAACTTACCTCAGGGGCAAAGTCAGCAATATGAGTCTTCTCTTTCTCTAGTGCACCTTGAGACACAAACATGGGAAAATAGCAGTTTTCAACACCCAGTTTCTTGATCTCAGCATCGAAAAAGTCCTTGATGGAGTCCCAAATGAAGTACGCCCAAGGACGAAGGACATAGCAGCCACTTACATCATAGTATTCAATCATTTCTGACTTTGTGATGACCTTTTTTTAAAAGAAAAACAGTCTTTAAAGCCTCAATTGAATCAGGATTCTAGTGCGAGTGCCAAGAGTATGATAACCCAGCTTCAAATCCAGAGGCTTCCACTGTCAGTACACCCTCTTTCTGTGCGTGTAAAATGGACCTTTCTACACTGAGGAACCCAGGGCCCTAACTCTTAGGACTTGAATTCCAATCTTGCTTCTGCTGTTACTATCTTTGTGATTTTGGACTAATCCCTTTAGCTCACCATTTAAAAAAAAAAAAATCAAACAATGACTATCTCAAAGGGCTACTTCTTGATTCACTGATCTATGTGACCAAGCTTTGAAAATTGTGACACGTTCAATGTCTATACTAAATATTATTAAAGGCATTATACATTATTACTTTGTGTCTGGACTTCAGAAACTAAATATATTAAGCCGCCTTTGAGAAACTTAAAACATAAAAATCAACTAATGCATACTCACTTGAGAATACCAATCGGCAAGATTTTCTTCTTTTTTTGCCTCAAGACCCAACCTGCAGATATGAAAAATAAAATATAAATCCCTTCATTCGGCAACTGCTTTTAGGTTGAACGGGAATAAACCTCTGAAGTTCAAATCAGATTAGTTTTTCTTCAGTATGAGCTATTTCTATATTTACATTCTTCTTTATTCATTCCCAAGATAATGTTTTTAACCTAGAAAACAGTTCAGTCATCTCTTAAAACGTAGTGGAACCATCCACAAATACTGGGAAAGCCAAGGCTAACAAAAATTATGATTTTAATGCAGATATCCACTTTACAAAGTTCTTTATAGGGCAATGTATTTGTAATAAAGATAGAGCCTATTCACGTAGTATCCTCTCACTGAAAAATAAGAATCTTTTGCCAACCTTAATCCAGGCAAAATTATAATTAGTAGGCTCAGTGTCTCACTGAAAGTAACATGTAAAAAAGGATGAAAACAATGGCTCTGTGTGCTACATGTGTGCATATATAGGTATACATAGCCTTACATATTCTACAAGTTTTTCTTTTAACTGCAGTAAATAAAAGTTGCAGAGGTATATGCTTCCAAAATAAATCAGATCTGCAATGAAAGCTATTCCAGATAATCCTTTCCTTGAAATACCTACAACTGTTCAGGGAACTGTGGTCTTAGGGTCTACCCATGAGTTATGCTCTATTTCGAGTTTACAAAAGAGGCTTTATCGATGTACTTACAGTTCAATTCTGTTATTTCACTTTGACACATCTCAACAGAACACCTGTGTGAAACCTGGCCCTTTCACAAGCAGTCAGAAGGTAAAAAGATGAGAAGTTCTAGTCTCTCTACTACTATTATGTACATTTGATCACTGCGTTCAATAGGCAAGGAAAAGAAGCGCTGTCTTCTCCTGCTTATGGAGATAACTGTGTGTGTGATGTGAGCGATGCGAGGCAGAATTTGAAATTCAGTTCACTCTACTCTGGGGAAGAGATTATAGACAGGATGGGAAGAAATCCAAACACCATCTATTGCACTGTTTTGTCTTTAAGCCAGCTTTGTTTTATATTTAACCAAACCAGTTTTAAAATCCTACTAAGAATGAAATTTGCATTTAATCCTCACCGAAGATTTCCATTAGAAAAATCTGTTTGTAAGGTGCAGAACAATGCGTGTACAGTTAGGCCACCAACTGTGTTAAATAGGAGACAAAAGGGCCCGAACCGTCCTGGTGGCAGGACTGGGGAGATGGGAAACAAGCATAGGGCTGAGATTCCACTGAGCTGTTTATACTCTGAGATTCTTGAACCAAGCAAGTGAATGTGTTACCTATTTAAATAAATACATGGAAAATTAACAAAAGCTACCTGCTGACACTGTACCTTTAGCATTCTCTGACTTTATGTGATAGTCCAATTGACCAAAATTTGTTTAAAAAAAAAAAAATGTGGGGCCGGCCGAGTGGCGCGATGGTTAAGAGCTGGCTTGGGACACCAGAGGGCCCCAGTTTGGATCCCACATATGAGGGCCAGTGACACTGCCCTCTACAGCTAAGATGCTGAACAACAGCTCAACCTGGAGCTGGGCTGCCCGTGAGTCACCGGCGACGGCGTAGGCTGCAGCCCCTGCTGCAGTGGGTTGCCATGGGCTACCGTGTGTAGCCAGCAGCCAGCATGAGCGGCCAGCAGCCAGCGTGAGCGGCCGTCCAGAAGCCAGCGACTGATCTGTCTTGCCCGGGAAGAGCACAATGATGGTGCCAACTTGGGCCAGTGAAGCAACGTCCTCCACAACTAGACTGAAGAACAAAAGGACAGCAACTTATCTGTTCCCCTTCCCCCGATTCCCTAGCACTGTTTCCCTCCCCCAATTCCCCAATAAAATCTTAAAAAAAAAAAAAAATGTGAGCATTGAATTCATTCGAAGCATTGCTTCACTTCAAAGGACCTCTCCGTGTTTCGTTACCTGGTCTGCTTCTTGGGCCCTTGTCCTTCTCCTGCTCCACCGGGCGACAGCCCACTGCCTTGGCTTTTAGAGGCGTCTTTCTTTTGGCCATCACTTTGTTTCTGAGGCTTATTCTGCTTTTCAGATTTATTTTCTTTTTCTTTCTTTTTCTTATCTTTGTCCTCGGCCCCGGTGGCAGAGACAGGCTTATATTCCACTCCTGTGAGGGACTTGTACTGTGCTTTCAGCTGAAGGAGTCCTTTTACAGCTGTGTCTACCTGATCCTTTAGTTTCACAAAAGAGGGAAAAGAGGAGATGATGATATTTCATTCAAATCGCTGCCTAAGCACCAATGTCCAAAGCTTTCTAAGCAGAGTTGAAAACATAATTAAAGGCAGAGGGGTATGAGGTAGGGTAGGGGTGGAGAATGTTACATACACCAACTACTGAAAATAAACAGAAGAATATACAGGGACAGAACTGTGCAAAAGAGTGACTGAAAAATACAACTATAACTGCACGGTCCAAACAGTAGTCCCTAGCTACAATACATGTGTTATTTACACTTAAATTAAAGAAAATTGAAAATTTACTTTCTCAGTCATAACAGCCACATTTCAAGTGCTCAGAAGCCACATGTGGCTAGTGGCAACAGCGATGCACAGAACTGTTATAGAATATTTCCATCTTGCAAAAAGTTCTTTTAGAAAGCACCAGTATGTAATATGTATTCTATTGTCATTTAAGGGCCATTAAATTGCATAAGTTGAACACTTCACAAATATAAAGATGGCAGTTAATCAAGTTTTTAAACTTCAAAACCTATAAGGACTTACTGTTTTCCACTAATGAATTTGTAACAAAAGATGTTATTCATATGAAGATAATACAATTTGCACAAACTACACTGTGGCTCACAATAAAACTTGCCTTTGGAGACTGAAAGAGCTTTAGGACAATGAGTCAAACAAAGAGTACGCACCAAGGGCCGAGGACGAGCCAGGCACTGCGCGGGTCTAGAGCCCTATCCTCAAGGATCTAGCAAACTAGAGAGAAACGGACAATTTAACAAGCAACTGAAATCTAGTTGTTTAAGTATTGTGGCAAAGAAAAGCAATGCCATATAAGAAAGTCCAATCAAATCTAGTTGGGGTGGTGAAAGGATCAACAAAGGCTTCTCTAAGGCAAGATAAGAGTTGAGAACTAAAAATATATGAGTACAAGTTAGCCAGAGTTGGTGGGACAGAAAGTGTTCCAGGCAAAGAAAATAGCCTGTAATGGAAAAACCAAAAACACACAAACCAAATGCCACACCAACCTTAGAGGCCTTTTCAGCTTTCAGTTTTCGAACAACTTCTCCTTGAGACGCTACTTTGTCAAAAAGCACTTTGGCTTCTGATGTTTCTGGACCACACGTCTCAGAGCTTCTGGCTGGACTTGAATCTGAACTTTGAGATAAAGGGGGCTGACCAGGAACGTACTCCTTCCCAGTTTTTTCTTTATATTGAGCTTTCAGAGAAAGTAAGTGCTCTACAGCTTCATTTACTTTAGCCTGAGATAAAAGAGAAAAAAAGACACATATTTAATACCGTCTGAAATTTCTGAAAATAACCATTCCTGTAAATAACCACCATGGAGAAACCCAAGCACAAAGGAGTTAAATCATCCGCTTAAAATAACAGATTAAAGCTAAAGAAAAGTTAAAGATACAAATCATATCATAATCCTATACACAAGTTATAAAACTAAACATAAATACACATATACATATAATATTGTAATTTTCCTCTTACACATGTAAACAGACAAATAAATAAAATATCCAAGCAGACTGCCTGTTTCCAAGCCCTGGGTCTGTAGGTAGAGTCAGAATGTACAAAATCAGAGTCAAGATCAGCTTTGCCTAGAGAACACCTTATTTTCTTCAGCTTACTAAACAGACACTAAAGACAACACTGAAAAAACACATAGTTTGGGCCCAATGAAAGAATAGCTACATAACTCTTTTTTAAAATTTACAATGGAAGAGAAGGTATGTTGAGGTTTTAATTAGATACTCACCAATATGTCATCCCCTGCTACTTCAACATAATCACTGAGAAAGAATGAAACAGCCCAGCTGAGACCCTTGTGCCTCTAGCAGAGAAGGCCGGCAACGCAGGCAGCGGAAAGCTGCACGCCTGACCTGAATGGCGGTACTATCTAACCACAAACCAATCAACAGGCCACCGGGGACATCAATCAAACGCAAAAAGTACCTCCAAATCGGGCAGCCAAGTTTCACCTGCACATGGTAGCAGTGCTCCACAGAACTAAGAGCAACCCAACCGAAGCGGGGCAACTACTCTGGGGGCAACTACTCTGGGGTCAAAGGGAAGCAGGAACCGTCAGGATACCCTCAAAGAGCTGGCCTCTGCAAGACAGCAAATCCCTTTTCCCTGTGCAGCTACCTTATGACACAACGCCTGGCTGCCTCCTGACTTAGTCTGTCACAGCAGGCACCACCCAGAGGGAGTACGGGCTGTCTGAGGTGTACTCCTGACCTGTCTCGTGTTTACATCGTCCTTAAAATTAAGAGCATTTTCAGAGCAAAATCTACTTGGTTCTAAGAAAAAGGACACAGTTAATCAGACATACAAGAATAAAAAAAAAGAAACTTCAATCAGCTAAAAACAAGAAAATGGGGAGAAAATTAAGGGACTTTCCTGCAAACATTTCTACAAAAAGAGGCCTACTTTTGAAAGAAGTTCCATTTTACCCTATACGCAGGTATTCACTAGAGGTCAAAGTCAGGTGGCACACATTTCACACAGAAAAAAACAAACAAACAAACAACCTTTGTTTGGCAAGACTACAACTTGAAATATTATAAAGGACAAAATTAAGATGGGCAAACCACTTCATTACTGAGTGAGACACACATTCTAAAAATAGAGTAAAAATAGAATAAAACTCTAAAAATAGAGGATCTCTGTCCACAGAGAGGGACGGTGAACCACTGTGCCGGGCTTGATGAATTTTTTCCTCCTTCCCTGCCACTTATAGCCACAAACATTTCACGAAGCAATGTCTACACATCCCAGTCACACGTTACAGGATTCTTGTCAGGACGCACGTTTCCTCCCAGCCCCCTTCCCCACCCACTAGGTGGTGAGCGGAATCTTGTTAGTATCCCTGGCCTTGGCACACAGCCATAGCAGGAATCAGTGAATGCCGACTGCTGTGTCAACACATTCCAGTAGACAGTCTACAAACAGCATGTCAAGGTGAGTCTGCCCAGCAGCTGGAATTCGCAGGCTTTCTCAGTGTGGTCTCGCCGGTCCAGTGTACTCACCTTAGAGGCTTTTTCAGCTTTCAGTTTTCGAACCACCTCCCCTTGCGCAGCAATCTCATCGTACAGAGATGTCCTCTCCGGGGCACCTGCTGCGGGTTTAGAAGAAACAGTCTGGCTTGCTCCAGCAGCAGGATTTCCAGGTTTATAGTCCTGGCCCGTTTTCTCCTTATACTCAGCTTTCAAAACTAACAGCTGTTTCACAGCTGCATCTACATCTTCTTTTGCGGCTTTCTTGGCTTTTAATTCACGAACCACATCCCCCTGAGCAGCCACTCTGTTGTAAAGGACCAAGGAATCCGCAGAAGTAGTGCAAGTATTAGTCACAGGTGGCGCTGGTCTGTCCTTACTAGGAGTAGTAGTCTATGAAGGCAGAAAACCAAAGGTAAAAATAGTTAATGTTACATGTCTTTCCACAAAATTGTATCAACCTGGTTGTTTTATGTTTTAAGTTAAAACAAAACTTTAAAATCAGAGACCACGCAGTTTTTAATCTGTGTAAATTAAAAGCTCAAGTCATGACATTCCCACAGTAAATACGTCCAAACTCATCTCTCCTAGTAAACTTGTGAGCTTCTGTCTTCCCCAGCTCAGACTATTTACCATTTATTTACCTGGTCAATGAAATACAACTCTAAGTTACTGTCTTACTGATTCTAGTTCCTGGGCTCATGTCCTACTTTACACCCTCCATGCTCTACCTTCTGGCTTCCTGACCTTGTAACACCTCTAATCCTATGTCCAACCCACTCTCCAAACTGTCTTCTTCATAGCTACCAAATCCTCAAGGGCTACCCAACTGCCGACACCTATGGACCTCACGCTATGGGAGCCACAGAAAATCCATAGGGATGCCAGGGGTAGTTTAAACATTTCAGGATATCTGAGACCCCGTATCTGTGAACCACCATGTGAGCTACAAGCTCAAGGTGGTTCAGTTTTAACATTCAAGTGAGCTACATTCCTTTCATTGCTGAAATCACTGGTGTCATATCTTTGCAAAGCTGGATTTTTCACAGCTGCTGTGTTAAAAATCAAATACCACAGAGGGGGGAGGGTGGCCAGGTGGCTCAGTTGGTTAGAGTGCATGCTCTGAACAACAAGGTTGCCAGTTCGATACCTGCATGGGCCACTTTGGGCTGCGCTCTCCTTAAAAATAAATAAATAAATAAAATCGCTGTGGAACAAGAAACGGTGATGTCCTACCTGAGTCCAATGTTAAAGGAAGAAATAAAGGCATTATTCTTTTCTTTCAATTCGTATATCATTTTAAGAATGAAATTAAAATATTTAACATTTAAGAAAATATTTTAAAAAATGAAACTTAAGTTTCTTTTCCTTCAATTTATGTGAGATTTTTTTTCAAATTGCTACTAACTTATTGGGATATACGTATTTATCTAATTGTTTGGACTTAACTACTTAATAAAAAGAACTGTTAAGAATTTCATTTAGCCTAAGGGATGCCATGAAAAAATTACGGACAGACAATGCTGTGAACTGAAGAAATGTGTTGACCTCTGGACTACACAATAACCCCCTAATTTTCCAGGCACATCACAACCTCTCAAATCCACGTTTTATGAGGACAGATGCTGTGTCTGCACCTGGAATGTCCTTCAGACCGTGACTGCCAGGCAGATCCCTAATTCATTGTTAAAGACGAGAGATTAAGCATCACCTCCAAGATGAAAAAGGAACAGGGAAAAGCAGGTAAGGCAGTTTCCTATCATCCACAACACAGCAGCTCCTGTCCTTTTTCTCTTTTCCAAACCTCCCTGACTGTAGGGAGCTCCTGACCAAGAGGCCCTGGAGTTTGACAGAAAAGTCCAGACAGGAAACCAGAACCCCAGGTCCCTGTCCTGACTCTGTCAATAGCGACTTTTGTTATCTTTGGCAAGGCCTTTTTCCCCATTTCCACATATAAAACGAGGAGCTAAGAATAGGTGGCCCTCAACATATGCCCAGCTCTCCACAAGGGTCCTAATTAAGCAGACTGGCTCTTAAAAAGAAAAGGATCTACTACAGTATTATGAAAACTTTTCTAAAAATATTCTTTTAATCTAGTCTTTCTTACCTTTTCACATAATAAAATTAAACTTTAAAAGTTTTGTTTTGCAAGGTATTTTAAATCTTACATGAAAGGGTAAGAAAAACCCCAAAAGTAAGTTATTGTCTTCTTCAGTTTCCACAGTAAGACAACCATTTGTGAAGACGTCAATTCTAAACCCGAGGATGATAAAGATCACTGAGGGGCCGACCGAGTGGCTCAGTTGGTTAAGAGCTCGCTCAAGAGTGCAAGCTCTGGGCAACAGGGTCGCTGGTTCAATTCCAGGCCCGAGGTGAGCTGCTGCTGAGCTGCCAACAAGTGGCAGGATGGCTCAGCTTAAAACAAAACAAAACAAAACACTGAAGACTTATCTGTAAAAGTCAGTATTTACCTCATTTTTTGTTGTTTCTACTTTGGTCTTTTCCTTTGACCCAGATGTCGGCATTTCCTTCGTGTGCCCATCAGGAATGTATATTAAAACACAAGGGGCTTCTCTGCAACTATATGGGCTAAAAAGAAAATGTAGTGCCAAAAGTTTATTAGAACCAAATTATCTGAACAGCTATTAAAACTGGATTCCTAGATTAATCCAAAGGCACTGTGCTAATGCTTTTCAAAGTATAAATACATAGTCCATTCTCTTGTTATTCAAATCAGAGTTCTTCAGAGTAGTTTAAAAATAATAAATACATAAATAAAAATTGACAGTGCTAATTATAAACTTTCAATTTATGAACTTTCACAGATGTGAACAAGCTAACCCCAGGACAAAAGTACATCTACTCCACCTGCCATAACAAATGACATTAGTGGACACTAATGGTCTCACTCTTGACTTAAAGGAAATTCGTCTACATATCACACCTAATCTGCTTATAAGCAAAACAATTTCTGCAAAACATTTATTTTATAAGAATTTCTCAATTCTAAAAAGTAGCGTAATTGCAAACTCCACTGACCAAGTCTATTCATAAGCAAAGAATTTCTTCAAATTTGGGGGTAAAAGCCACAAAGGAAAAATAGAGAAGGAATGCAGCAAGAATGGGATCTACACATCTCTTCAATATTTTTAATAGCTTCACTGAGATATAATGCACATACCACAAACTGACCCTTTGAAAGTATACAATTCAATGGTTATATAAAGTTGTGGAACCATCACCACTATCTAATTTTAAAACATTTATATCATCCCAAAAAGAAACTCTGAACCCTTTATCTACCACTTCCCAGTCCCCTATTCCTCTAGATCCTGGCAACCACTAATCTACTTTGTTTCTATAGATTTGTCTATTCTGGACACTTCATATAAATAGAATCATACAACATGTGGTGTGTTATCTCTAGCTTCTTTAATTTAGTATAATGTTTACAAGGTTTATGCATGTTGTAGCATGAATCAGTACTTCATTCCTTTCTGTGGCTGAATAATATTCCCTTGTATGGCTGTATCATATTTTGTTTATTCATTCGTCAGTTGAGGGACATCTGGGTTATTTGCACCTCTTGGCTATTACAAATAATGCTGCTGTGAGCATTCATGTACAAGTTTTTGTATGAACACATTATTTTTCTTGAGTATACGTGTAGGACTGAAATTGCTGGGTAAAATAGTAACTCTATGTTTAATTTTTTTGAGGAACTGCCAAACTTTTCCAAAGTGATTGTTATCATTTTGCAATACTATCTGCAACGTATAAAGGTTCCCATTTCTCCACATCCTCCATACCTGTTACTGTCTTTTTGCTTATAGCAATCCTAGTGGGTATGGAGTGCTATCTCACTATGATCCCGATTTGCAGCTCCCTAATAATTAATAATAAGCTTTTCATGTGCGCTTGACCATTTGTGAGAATTTTGCAGAAATTTTTTTCTTTATACTTGGACTACATGAAGATGGATTATAAGATGGTATAGTTTTAGAAATGAATTTGTTAATATTATGCTGTTTCAAAGGTATCACTTATTAAAATCAAGTCTGAAATATTAAATCTAGAAGAACAAATCAGACTGAATAGAGAATTGTCAGGTACAGTTTTTAGTGTAAGTTGAATTTTTTAAATATTATTTACTATAAGAACTTGAAGCAGGGCCGGCCGAGTGGCGCATTGGTTAAGAGCTGGCTTGGGATGCCAGAGGGCCCCGGTTCAGATCCCACATGAGGGCCGGTGACACTGCCCTCTACAGCTAAGATGCTGAACAACAGCTCAACCTGGAGCTGGGCTGCTGTGGGTCGCCGGCGACGGCATAGGCTGCAGCCCCTGTGGCAGTGGGTTGCCATGGGCTACCGTGTGTAGCCAGCAGCCGCAGTGAGCGGCCAACAGCCACAGTGAGCGGTGTCTAGAAGCCAGCGACTGATGTGCCTCGCCCGGGAAGAGCACAATGATGGTGCCAACTTGGGCCAGTGAAGCAACGTCCTCCACAACTAGACTGAAGAACAAAAGGACAGCAACTTGTCTGTTCCCCTTCTCCCAATTCCCCAATAAAAAAATCTTAAAAAAAAGAACTTAAAGCATTTTCATTTAGATGTTCAGTTGCATTCACTTACCTAACAGGTTCATAAGGCTGATCACATATAAAGAACCCTCTTCTCTGGAGTTGTATAATGTCTCCCTTTTTCAAGTCCTTAAGGCAGGGATCCCCCAACATTGCTTCTTCACGCTGTAAAGGTGGAAATATGAGATGGAAAAACACTTTATCAAAATCAGAGCACTAAAAATAACTTTAAAATGCAAGCAGCTTTTTTCACTAGCTGGGATATTCCCATTTAAAACACGTATGTTAAAAATTTTACTACTTGAAAGCACACACAATGAAACAGCAAAGTAGTAAAACAAATAGCAATTACATTTACCATCATTTTTGAAGTTTACATTTATAAACTAACTGGCTTCTGAAAAACTTTAATCCGATTGGTGTCCCTGCAGTTATAAATACGTTTCCCACCATAAATATGAACTGCAATGCAAGAAGCACATATAGACTGAAAGGCATGCTAGCAACGCACTTAAGTGGCATAAGGGCTCTGGACCCAGGGCCTGGGTTTTAATCCCAGCTCTATCATTTACTGTATGTCCCCAGACAAGTTATTTAGCCTCACTTTCCAATGTCGGTAAAATGGGAACATTACTCTTTTCCATCTTTTTATTTTAATAAAATTCTACAAATCTTTTCCATTTGAGGAACCAAATCCTTACAACTAATTTTAAAAATTCTAGAGAAAAGTTTACATGACACGGAAAAGTGAAATATGGCTACCTTGCTGTTCTTGTTGACATACTGCTTAAAATCCTCGTCTTTTCCGAGCACTGGCTTTGTGATCAAGTGCTCGTAGGTCACACAGATTGCTGGAATAGGAAGAGCCCGTGGTGTCTCTGCAAGCCAAGTGATCTTAGTGGTTTTCTTGTAGTCTTTGTTCTCCAAATTCAATTTTGCATCAAGAGATACAATTTTTCCATCTGTGTTTCTAGATATAAGATTAAAAAGTGTTTAAAGAAAATAAACCATTACTGCTATAAAAATGCATTTTTGTTCTGTATCTGCAGCAAATGGATAAGGAATTTTCTTGGTAAACATTTCAAATCAAACATTTATTTGAGCTTTTAATATGTGCTAGACATATACTGGATAAGAGATGAGTAAAATAAAATCCCTGCTATCAATATACTAATAATACACCAGAAAACAGATCCATACACATCTGATAAAGAACGTGAAAATGCTTACAAATTTTAAAGTCACCTGCACTAAGCATTAAAAAAGCTGAAATACAAAACAAAACAAAAAATCTGAAATACTGTATTTACAAACACTTAACAATGACTTGAAATCATAAACAATGATGGGACAATTAAGATGTCTGAGTTTACTTAAATAATCTTAGCATACTATGTTCCATTTATGTAATCTTAAAGTCAGATTTATAAGTGTAGCACACTGTAATAACTGGAAAAATTCATATTCATCATTAAAAAGTTAATTTTAAAACAGATTTTAGCATAAAAAAGTTATATATACAAATTCTGTCCACAGAATCCCTGTACCAGGCAACTGTACAATGATAAATAGATGACAAAAAGGAGCCCTAGACCATTAGAGCTATTTGTCATATTTAGATGTACTAATTTTCAACATCACAAGCAAAAGATATCCTGATACTCTATTGGTGAACTGGAACATATATAAAAAAAAAATAGGTTCCCGCATTTGTAGCATCCATGCCTGGGGAGATTTACGTCAACAACATGAATATGTCTGAACCAGGTAATTTTTAATAAGTGAATCAACATAAAATACTTTTTTCCTGTAGTTATTTAAAACAAAAAGGTCTTACCTGTGTATTTTCATAATGTTGATGTTGCCCCAATTTATAAATGTCACCATCTCACCCTCTGACAGTGTCTCTGCATCAGCGCCGTCAATGAGAACTCTGGAGCTGTACCACACGGGCTTCAAGCCCACGTCAGGATTCTAATTGGTGAAAAAGGAGTGTTGACTGAAACAACAACTTATGATGCCAGTGTGCAAAGTTATACATTTATACACTTTCCCACTGTATTATTTAGTGCACGAAAGCTATCTGTGTTAGTCTGGATTCGGCTCTGTGACATGCTAATGGAGTCAGACGGGGTGGCCCGCCCCTTAGGCTTGCCCGTCCACCTGAATCAGTTTTCAGAGCTGTGATAGTATTATTTGTCGCTAAGTGTTCCTCTAACCAGAATCTGCTTTACTATCCTCAGAATCTCACTGCTTTTGCAGCAAAGGAGGAAATAAATTCATTTTTGCCTGGGGGACTACAAAGCAATATAGGATAATAGGGGTCATCTTAGCAGGAAATTGTCAACCATTCATATTTTAGAAGGCAAGTTCTGAAGATAGAATTACATATGTATAGATAAGTTTCCTGCCCTGTCAGTATATAATTGAAGAAGAAAAAGAGATGTGGGGAATAAAAATACTGTACTTGTTAAATTTCAGTTTTTGTTAGGCAGAATTCAGAAGAAAATAAGTATAAGAAGACCCTTAGAAATAAATGTTAAACAGCATGTGTTTAATAATTGTTTAAGGAATGCACCAATGCATTTGAGAAAAATCAGTATGTTGTAACATCTTATATTATGCCAGACTTGGAACAGAACACTGACAGGCTAAATGCAGAACACTCCGTGAGGGAAATAATAATGAAAATGCTACAGATCAAACTGAGTAATCCAGTCATCATCTAAAGGGCGTCTCCTAATCAATTAATTCTTGTTTAACAGTGAGCAGTAGTAATCTCATTTATTCTACCTGAACACATAGTCATTTTAACAAATAAGCACCCTTAAAAAGTTTTATTTTCACCATTGAAATTTTAAAACATTCAGTAAGCTTCACATAAAAGCTAACTATAGTGGGTGATATCATACATCAGACGCCACTATTCACCTAGTTGAACAATCAGATGTAAGATAAAGGTAAAGGTAAAGTCAAATCAATCACACACACACACACACACACACACAGACACACACCTTATTAGGGTTCCCCTTAAAATAACTCAAACCTTTAAAATTAAAAAATAGCTAAGGTCTTACATAGAAAGGGAATCACGTAAGGCTACCACTTAAGAATATTTATAGCGTTTCACGATGTACATGATCTTATGTGTGCGTGAGTCTATGAACGTAAGTTTTCACGTTATGAGTATATTACTCTATTAGCATATAAGTGAGTCTATGGACATAATCTTCATCATGTAATGAAGATATTTATAGCCATCTTACAAAGCTGCAAAAAATGGATCTACTTTTGCTTCAAGATTGTCAACCAAGGAAGTCATGACAATCCAAGATGACAACCAATTCCCAGCTACATGCATTTGAAATTCACATGCTGAATTTAGACAGGTACCATTTTCACTTCACTGATCTTTTCTACAACAGAGCAAATAGCAGATGATAAATTCTGACACGAGTTGTAATTCGGTGTTACTAGGTCTAATGTCTTGGCTTAAAGACAAAGGTCACAGTTACCGAATGAGCTAGAGAACAGAGAACGCACTTCAGCTTCCATGTAAAGGCAGGAGCGTGACTTGCAATCCCTCACCTTCCAAAATGACTCCAGGAAGACAGAAATTCTTATTACACACTAATAGGCTATCACCACAGAATACATTAGCTGAGTGTGACAGTTGGGTGATGTACTGTGATTACTAGAATAAATTTCTTCAGCAGGAAATCCACAAAAATATTTACTTCAATTAGTATCAACTCCTGACAAATGACGTTGGGTAGAATATGATCCCCAAACCACGATAAGGCCACAAAATCACATTGTCCCTTTTATCATCCTGCCCCTTCCTTAACAGACAGAACAACACTGTTAAACTGCAGGGTGACCTTTGGATGTTTGGCGACTTCTTTGCTCTCCTCCCGAGCTTCGGGGACATTCACTGGGATCACCTCTTTTTTCAACAACGCAACGTATCGTGGTGCCACCGGGTCGATAACCTGCAACAAGCGCATCCTCGTGTTAAAACATTCCCATATTTTAAAAAATGTCCTAAGTAAAATAAAATAAAAGCACAGGAAGACTAACTGGCTTTCTTTGTTACTGCATTTACTAATTTTTTGGTTTACCTACTAACTCTTCTCCAACATTTTAACTGTCATCAAGTAGAAAAGAGAGAAACAATAAAAAATGAAGACCGTTTGAAAGATTGAGCGTTCCTTTCCAAGAATAATTACTGACAGGTGAAAAGAAATCAATTAGTTAAAGCACAATATTAGAAATACTTTGAAAATAATATTTAACTCCGGTATTAGAAGGGGTTATATATTGATCCTACAGGTAAATATATTCGATTTTGTATTGTTGGAGAAGTCCATTTTGAAGGAATATATACTGATACGTGTGTTTAGTAGAATTGTCCATAATCAGTGTTAGGCAACACATCATCACCAAAAAGCAAAGTAGCATTAGTTCACTATAATAAGGCAATTCTATAGGTTAAAACTATAAAGAACACATGTCTACCTGTCTGCACACTATCTCTGCAGGGACGACTGTATTCCCAGTACCTGGCAAGGGCCTGGCACACACAGGTAATCGATAAACACCTGCAGACTGACTGCATGGATGATCATATTCCCTATGCTCTCACCTACTCCACCTCCAAAACAACAGAAGCACCGCCTTCTGCATCTGATGTACTGTTTTCACTTCACTGCTCAATTTAAAATGATACACGATGACCAAGCCCAACAGCAGTGTTTAGACACCAAATAATGCAAATGGAAAAAAATGGAGGTCAAAGCAAAAACAGCATCAAACAGCTCAGTAAAGTTATTTTCTTGTCATTAGAGGGATACAGGAAATAGTGGTGTGATTAATTAAACTTGGCTGTTTGTTTTGTATTGTTTTTGTTGTTGTTCTTGCCATTGTTTGGTCAGCTTTTTGGTTTGCTTCGAGAGTATTTTTCAGCTTCTGAAAAGAAGGATACTGCGGAAATCGCGAATAAACTCAAGAGACAAGACCATCCGCAGAGGCTCACTTGTAAGAGTATGAAAAGCTGTTCTAGTTACCCTGGTGGCTGCTCCCCATCTGTTTATATTTCATGCCAGGACTAAATCAGCACCACCCTAAGTTACAGTTTCATTCTTTCCTTCCTTGAGGCTTTAAGGTCATTCTTACATGTTAACGGTGCTTCCTTTCAGCTTCTACTGCGCTAGAAGGATCAAAGATTTAATTTGTGACCACTCAGTTCAGTATTGAAGCCAGTAAAATACAATTGCTTTGAAGAAGCTAAAACTAGACAAGCCAACCTGAGAAACTTGTTTCAGTTCACTGTAGCTCACTTTTCTCAACTAACAAAAATAGAAGACTGTTTCTCACACTTGACTAATTATTGTAATTACCTAGGGCACTGGCTAGCACAGATTTTCAGGCCACTTAACCCTAAAGGATTATGATTCTAATGGTCTGAAGTGTGGAAATCTACTTTTAACAAACATTCCATAGGGCAGTTAGGATCAGACAAGTTTGGGAAAGCTTGGATGAAAAGGTTTAAGTCTTTCTCAGCTCTCAATTGCACAATTCTAAGAATCTCTGGATCAGTACTTTTCCAAGCTCTCCAGAGTCTCAAGGATTTCAGGGAGTCGCCCTGACAGACACCAAGCAGAGGGAAGGACAGGCATGCGACTGAAGAACACAGGGCTCCAGACCCCCCACCACACTCCAGCCAGAACACATACACTTTATTCACTGGGGCTTATGCAAACTTTTTTCATTTGAAGGAAGACTTTCCTTATTTGGGGGTGAGGAAAGAAGTCTCTACATGCTTTATTTACTAGTCAGGGCAGATGTAAAGGGGTTGAGATGAGCATTGAGGAAAAAATGTTATATTATACCACTGAAATACCAACATGAAGTTTTAAATTAAACAGTAAATAAAGGCTGATGGAACCAAATAATAGCTCTGAAATGAACACCTTAAAGCTATGACTCTTCTGCCCTGGCTGAAAAGTTTAAACCTTAAGACTTACATAAAACCAAGAAGAAAATCAGTGAGGTTAATGCAGAGTAAGTTATTAGAATGTCTCCTACTAGTATCAAGGTAAATTTAAAAAAAGGAAAAAAAGCTACATATATATATATATATATAAAAGCTACATATATATATATATATATATATATATTAATTATGACAGAAAAATTACATCCTAATTTCCTGTCAAGATGAAAAGTCAGGCTAAGTAAACAGGCTCACGTATTTTCAGAAGGATGCTGAGATGGTTAACCACCCCACATCTCACTATCCCTTCTTTTCTTGATCATGTTTAATATAAATAAAGCTCTTTCTCTAAGGAGCATGTAGGGAGCTCCAGCTAATCTGGATTTAGTCTCCTTGCCTTTTAGCAGACAATGCTTTAAAAAAAATGTTGCGCTATTAAGAGGGGGAACGTGTCCAAAGAATGTTTTAGCCCTGCCCTCAATGCTTACTTCACAATGGCATGGCATTAAATTTAGTTTACTGACGCTTCACTTCAATATCATTTGCAGAGCTTGGAGAGAAAGGTAGAGCAAGCTGTAAAATAACAGAGCAGTACGTAGAGATTGAAAGTGATGTGAACTCTAAATAAGAGATCTGTACCTCGAGGGTCAGAGAGAATGGGAAAGTGCTGAGTACAGCAAAATGCCACGAAGGCCAGCAACAGAAACAAAATGAGCAGAATGAGTTCATTCTTACTACCAATCAAAATTTTCAACTGTGCCATGTTTTTAAAATGGTGCTTAATGATTAAAGATCCCACAAACTTAGGAATAAAGAAAACAGACTGAAAAATACTCATCTACTTTTAGTCCTTCCAACTCCCCCACTAAAAAGACATGAAGGGTTTTGTTTTGTTGAAAGGCACAAATCCAAGAAGACTGGAAGGAGATTTGGCAACAAAATTCTGGAAGCTGAAAAACACGGAAGCATCCCCTCTTTGCTCCATTCAACCAGACAACTGCCTCTCCCCAACCTCGGCAAGAAAAAGGGAGTTTACTCTGTGAAAAGAAGGGCGTCTAGATCCCACAGACACCAGACACAGCTGAGGTGAGGGCACTGCGCTGAGACCAGGGTATCCACCAGTGAATGTCTGACACTAGATGCAAAGGCCCTGAGCAGTCTTCCTAATTTGGCTCCAAAGCCCAAGCAGCCAGGCCTTCACACTTCAGGCTGGTAACTGAAAAAACTCCTCTGGAAAAACTGCATAATCTAAGAAATAAGACAGGAAGTTACCGACATGGGAGGTTTTTCAACTAACTGGCCCAGCCGGATCACCTACAGTGAGAATCAGCTGACAAGCCCAACTCTTGATCTTGGGGCTTCCAATCACTCTTTCAGTCCTCATGTGACACCTGAGCAGGTAACCAAGGCTAATCAGACATCTGGAAAATGCCTCTCATGTCAAAGAAAAACCAAAATAAACAACCTGGAGGAAACAGATGTTATAAGAAAAAAATTCTATTAATAAATATTATAACCATGAAATAGAAACAGGAAGTGATTTTGAAAATTCAGAGAAAAGAGAAATCCTAGAAATATGACAGCATAAATGAAAAACTCAACAGAAGGGTAGTTGAGTAGACCTACCAGAAAATAGTGTCAAATGATGAGACAGAAAATAAGAGGACCAATTCAACAGGCCCAACATCTGCTCAAGAAGAGTTCCAGAGAGAAGAAAATAGTAGAGAAAAAAGAAAGAAAGAATTCAAGAAAATTTCCCAGAACTGAAGGAGTGAGTTTCCAGACCGGAAGCCACATGTTCCTCCAATGGATATGGATGAAAACAGATGGACGCCATGACACGTTATCATGAAATTTCAAAGCGAAAAAGCAGGTCATATACAAGGTCTCAAAAGTCTTCTTCATTCCAGGCTCCCCTTCTCAGGGAACTACCAGCAGATACAGCACAGCAAAGCAAAAAGGTAATAAAAACAGAAGGGACATCCAAGAACCAGGCGATTCATCACAGAACAAAAGCCAAGCGAATTCCAGGACAAGGAGGAAGGCTGACCTGGGAAGACAGCTGTGCTCAGAAGTTACCAGGCCACTAACCCAGGTCAGATCAAAGTAGCACAGAGGGTCTGGCAAAGACATCTCCAAGACGAAACTGAAAGAACACTTGAGGCATGTGGACATTTTGGTAGGAAAGTTAAGACAACTTATGCAGAGTTTGAGTCAGAGTTAGAAAACTACACAAATGAGGGGGAAAACAACCAAAACAATCAAGTACAAGAAAAGCAACAAGCTATGAGAAGAAGTAAAAGACCTAAATCCTCTTCTTCCATTGTGGGAGGTCAACTGATGATGCCCAAAACAAAAAAATCAAGAAGTAGCAACACACATCTCATTTAGAGGTACGGGCAATAAATACCAAAAGAATTATCTCAAAGAGTGGAAAGCGATTTATCGAGGGAGAGAAAGCGAAGGAAAGATGACAGGGAAATATGCTGTTCATCTTAACAGATGCTATAGAATTATCTAATTATAGTGAAATCTTTTTCATATATTTGAACTAAGTATACATGTATAACTTTATTAAAACTTAAAACCTTTAAAATTTGGATTACTAATAAAGTACGGCAATGTTAAGTTTGCCTGTGAATTTCACTTGTATTTATTATTAGTAACTGCAGCAACAGAAAGAGCCAATTAATTCCTTTATGTACTGAAAAACTGACTAAACACAAAAGACTAAATAAAATAAATTCAAGACATGCGAGACAAGCAACTATTTCTTGAGGCAAGGCATCAGCACAATCAAGCAGCAACACGAAAAAAGAATTTACAGAACACAATCACAGAAACCCTAATTTAAAACATGGCATGTGAATGATTTGCCTTATTATAGTGTCTAAGCATCTGCTTCCAATTAGTAATTAACAATGTCAATATGCAGTATTCCTCATTTGACTTTCACTTAAGAAATAGTAGTTAAAAAGCTGGATTCAGTAAGACACAGGAATCCTAATTAATGAAACTTCAATACAACTCAATGGGCTATGTAACTTTAATAAAACTGTCCTCTCAGTGAAAGGTAGAATGGAATTAGCCAAGTCTTCCCTTTGCCACTGAGAAAACTAGAGGACATGTTTTTTAAAACTAGGAATAATGCATTTTCAGTGGATTTATATAGGCAAGTCTTTAATATAAATGTGATTGTGCTTCAAAGCTGTATAACAGCTCAGATAGGTTATAACATGGAATATGCTAGAAGCTATGTGCTAAGTATGGCAAATAAAAGCATTTAGTAATACCTTCTTACAGAGAGCTCGCAGCTTGAAAGCAGAAAAATGAAATGCAAAGTGTTCATAAAAGATTTAAGGAAAAAACTGTTACTGTTCCCCATAACTCCAAGTTTGCTTGTTTTAATCATTGTTAGTTATTTCGCATAGTTAATAATAAGCTTAATGTTTATATGTTTAAAAAAGGAAAACATTCCATTTTCCTGAGTCTGCAAATGATAACATTCTTCACAAAATTTCCTCTACCATGAGCACACTAATGAATTCTACATGTAGGAGTTAGGCATGAGAAAAGAGGACCAAGAGTCACAACCTGTACCTTTTTGTTAAATGCCCAAATTTTGTCCCATTCCATGTTCACAACTGAACGTGAGGAGCCCTAGAAAAACAAAAATAAAATGACATAAAGGGTGAGTATTAATTCGGATATGTTCTTTAAGTTAAGCTATGCATGTTAGAAAAAATAGGCCCAATAATTACTCTCAAGTTTCTTTCCACTGGAATATAAAACTTATTATGTACAAGCTAATTTTGTTACCATGAGCAGTTCGAGTCAACAATCCTATCATTCACTGGGTAAAAATGTGACAGCTGCCTTTGCCCAGCCCTAGCTTAGAAGTTTAGGACACTCTCAGTGTTCCACTGCTATTAACAGTGCTAAAAATACTCTTTAAAAAAAATATTCTGCCCCTGCATTCTAAGGAACTAACAACAGAAAGAACAGGAATAATAAAGATTAAAGGGATATCGACACTTGAAAATTCAAGCAGAGACTTGGAAAAGAAACCATAACTCACCTGAGCAGCAATAAACTGTTTCAGTCCTTCGACTGTCATCCCTCTTCTCAGTACGCCACGAACTGTTGGAAATCTTGGGTCATCCCTGGCAAACAGGGACATTTGTTAAGTATCAAGGAAATTTTTTCTTTTTTTCTTTTTTTTTATAGCTGAGCCATCCTGCTACCTGTTGGCAGCTCAGCGGCAGCTCAGCTCAGGCCGGGACTCGAACCGGTGTTGCTCAGAACTCACATTCTTGGGTGAGCTCTTAACCAACTGAGCCACTCGGCAGGCCCCCAAGTAGATTTTTTAAATATGTAGTTGCAGAGAGTACAAAATACCTTAGTGAATATTATATTTAACTTGTTAAATATATAGACTAAGCTGGTTATAATAATTGCACGGATCACACCACCAGTGAGCCCAAGTTCATGGAACAGGAAAACCACTTACCAACCAGTATTGCTCAGTAAAATAAACGCACCACCAGAAACAGTAAATTTCAGGAAAGGCACAAGGGTGACATCTTCAAATACAGAAAACCCATCCGTTGAAATATTATTTGTTTTTTATTTAACAAACATTCAGTGTCTCTTATTCGACACATGACCATGACCATGAGACCAGATCTACGGAGGACCAAGGGGTCAAAACCACTTTCTATTAGATGCTGAGCTCCGCCGAGGACGTGCCCTCATGTGCTTTCCGTTCCCATGGGCCACGGTCCACAACAGGTGCTCAATGTGTGCAGCACTCAAGGGGGGAGGGGACCTAATGCACTGGAGGAAAGGAAGACAGAAGGACCAGAAATCCTACAGGCCGATCCATTCCACCTCCTTCCATTCATCCTCCCCAGACCTCAGAGCAGTCCTCACTTCCTCCCAAGTCGAGGCAACAGGAAACATACCATCCATCTACCAGTCCTTCGTTGACAAACCACGTGAGTTTTCTTTTAGACAGCACTGTGTTGTTCAGATTTAGCCGGCTATATTCCCAAATATATGGTTTTCGTATGCCTAAAGCTTCGATAATCCAATAGAACTGTTCATCTCTGTCATGGTATTCTGTTGTTCTCAGGGCATGCGTAACACCTTCAATGCTATCCACTATGGGACAGGCGAAATCGTACGTTGGGTAAATACTAGGAAAAAAAGGGAATGTTTTGAAAATCAACATGAAGCATTTTAACCCTTTCCATGTTAGGTTAGGCATTATAAACAGCAAAACTAATTTATAACATAATTCTTTATGAGTTAAGAATTTTTATAAAACTAACGTTTTATGACTCATAATAATCAAAGTACATCAAAACACCAGACTGAGAACAATGAATCAGTTACCCACTTAATATTCAAACAAAAAAGCAAATTTGCAATATAACAGACGACTGGTACTGACAGAAAATTCTACAATCGTATTTCTGTAATGATCAATGCACAAGGGAGGAAACAACAGCAATATAAATAATAATTTTGAGGGAATTTAGCTTTTCAATATCTTAGTTAATCCTACTCTCACATAAACTGAATTACTTTTGTAATTAACTGTACTCAAGAACAGTCTCCTCTGACAAGTAAAAAAAATATTATGTAAACTAAAACTCCATTGCAGATGGAATATTCTTACAAAAATTTCTGCCTAAAATAATATACACAACACATAAGCAGTTTTCACTTGAATTTTTAAAAATATATTACTGCATTATGACTCCTAATTTTTAAGATATGACTTCAATAAGGTGCTATTGCATTAGGCTTTGCAATGATCTGATACTGAAAATGTGTACGCAAATTCACTTTTCCAAAAGTATTCCAAGTGTTTGCTTAATAAAACAAGGAGCAATCACCCTATTAAAATGAAGGACATTGGGAACCACTAATCTAAAAATGCTATCATTCTAAATATAGGTGGATTAAATAGACTAAAATTATAAGAACTCTATGTAAACTAAGAACTCACAATATTTGGCTAGTTTCATTAGTTTGTGTTTCACATAATCCACTGAGTAAAATTTCACTTTCCTTGACTAGGTTATTTTTATAAACACTGACATGGTAGAAACTGGAATATAGTACAGCTACATGGTATCATATTCACAATTCTTTAAAACATATATTTTTCACTGATTAATATATTATAAAGGTTTTGTGGTGGTTGTTTTCATTGTTTGCTTTGATATTTTTGCTCTTGCTGTCCCACAAATCCAATGCAATAGTGCAGATTACAAAATATGTCTATAATGGTTGGACTGGATTCTTAGGTTAGTATCAAATAAACTAAGTTGATGAAAAATTTTTTAAAATGAAGGACATATATACATGTACACACACGTAGCCACACATGCGTTTGTTTACAGACACACACACACGCCACACAGTTTAAAGAAAGTCACATTAGCTAAGCAAGTTATCATTATATTCACCAGTCACTTCAGAAGTTATAATTCAGCATTGATATGTAGTAGGCTTCTTCAAAGAATAAGAAAATTTGTTACTTGATAAAGTAAATTAACGGGGGAGGGACCATTTGAAGAAAAAAAATCTGTTAAACTGAAAATCCACATGGAAAACTAATCAAAACTAGGAAAAACTAATCAAAACTAGGAAAAACTAATCAAAACTAATCAAAACATGAAAGTATTCTTGTATCGCTCATATTTCTGTAAATTTTCAGAACGATCACATTCATGAATTTATGCACAGCAGAATCAAAGTTTATAAGAAGAGAAGTATCTTCATCTCAAGACAGATACCAAAGTATACCGAGTCAACACATAAAAAGCAACTGTGGGCAGACACATGACTTCCACAGTTGGAAGTGAACTTAGAAATAATAATGAAGTACAACCTTCACTGACAGGTGAGTTAACAGCCCTCGGAAGGCTTGACCATAGGCCAGTTTTCTGCAGATGAACAAGAACCAGGTATCCTGACTACTCTGCGTTTACAGATGGCACCAAAGCAAAGCATGGCCGGCTACCTAGCATAATGAACCGGGTACGGGTAACACTTACTTGTACTTATTTCCAGTTCTTGGGTGTGGTTGAATTTTGCAGCGGTAAAGTGTCGGGTCCCTCATGCACCCATTGTTACTGCTCATGTCAATTTTTGCTCGCAAACAACAAGACTGACCAAACTGGCTCCCTTTTTTCATTTCTTCCCACATTTGCAGATTCTTCTCAATGGCTATAAAACGATAGTTATATTACAGTTTATCCAACAGGTTGAATTCAAAGTATTTTAACAGTCTTGTAATTTGATACGTTATAAGCACATGCCACTGGTTTACAGGTACTGCAATAGTTCCAGTATCTGGTACCAAGAATAAATGCATTGGTTTTGATGCAAAAGTCTCACAAAACACTTAGGAAATGTACTCTATAAATATGCCTGAGAAGAAGTCAGTACAGTCCCCTGATGTAGTGCTGACAAAGGCCAGACAAGGAAGGAAGAGGCCCAAAGGTGTCCTCACCCCGTGCTGCCTCTTTCCCCACACTGGCCAGCCCCTCACATCTAACACCGTGCCTCTGAAGCAGAAGCATCCTGTCCCTTTGCCGCCTCACGCCCGGGGACAGACCGGTCCGGCCCGGCCCGCGGGGCTCACGGGCGTCGGCGCTGCAGCCCGTGCCCGTCTGAAAAACACGGCTCGGGCTGAGAGCCTGCACCCGGGGGCTCCCTCAAAGCTCTTTCAGTCACTCCAGTGGGAAGCAGAGCACGCTTGGATCCGAGAAATGAGACATGATAGAAAACAGACAGTGATACAAGTTTAACCCCAGGAAAAAGAGCTCTCTATCCCAAGTGGCTATGTTCCTATAAGTCAGAATATCGACAACCTGCCTCATGTTGGATAAACACATAACTGTGAAACAGTGATCCCCTGTAAAAACTACTGAAGACATGGTTAGAGCAAAAAGTCCAGTTGTTAGCTAGCTTTAAAAATGCAGAGAAACTTTAAAAATAAATAAATAAATAAAAATTCTGTAACAATTTCAGTTTATTTTACTTCCCAAATGTGACACTCAAGATTTAAATATACATAATAGCACGGACATTCAGGCAACATGATTACAGAATAAAAATAACCTGATTCTGAAGTTCAGCGAACAAATAAGAAGAAAGATATGCTTTTTTTGTCAAGTGGTATTTCAGAGGTATAGGGTAATACCAAGCTTATATATTATATTCACATTTACCCACATGTTGAAAGGAAGATTTAGGTACAAATAACATTATCATCAACATTTTAGAAAGGCTAAGTATTTAAATTAAGAAAAACACAAAAATGTTGCAGAAGGAATCATTCAAATGAAATGAATGAAATGCAAAAGACTGCACGAAGTAAGTGAAAGGCTGAGGACACACACCCGTAACATGCAGTGGTGATGCTAACAAAGTAATAACAAGGTAAAGATGATAGACAAACAAAAAAGATTTCTAAGACATGGACTAACATATGAATCATATTCCTAAAAGTGTTTCAAACCAGCATGTTTCACAGAAATCGTGTTCTACTAAAGATGCAGGATACAAGCGTATCAATTAGAATATAAAACACTAAATGTGCCTTACAGTTTTTTCTGTGTTTGGATTCTATCCTCTGCTCACGTTCGGCTTTCATCTGCTCAGCAGGTGTATCATCCACATAAGCCTTCCCTTCCCGAATTAGCTTCTCTGCATATTTCATTATGGTTTCAAAGTGATCCGAGGTGTAAGTAAATTGATCTGGTTTGATATGCAACAATGCAACATCTTCCAGGATAACCTGCAATAAGAATCCAAAATAACCATCAGTTTATCTTTTGCATTTTCCTTGTGTATTTTCAATCCTTGATACTGCATTTGGGCAAATGTAATAACACACCATCAGTCTTATAAAGCCTGAAAATGGCTGTGGAAGTTGCACAATATTAAGTAAGAAAAAAAAAAAAAAGATTCATTATACTAGCCTCCAAATTTTCAGCTGAGAAAGCTGGTCATACGATGGAGCTTTCCATTTACTCTGGAAAAGCTGGCTCTTATTGGTCATACTGATAATTATTCGCCCTCTTTGACTATATAGCAGTGCTTCTGAATAAAGATGATACAAGAGGCTAGGAAACCTTCACATTTTCCAACACCTACTTAAGTGTTTGTTTCATTCATAAACTTAAAATCATATGATAAAAAGGAAACCTGCCTCTAGTGGCCAATTCATTTAAGAAATTGGTACTTAAAGTGTAGCACTTAGGTAAACTCTATAATTGAAGAACAAAAAAGTAAATTGAAGTTTTTTGGTATGGGAGCTCAGTATTCCTTGGCTTAGGTCTCAGGCACAGGATATACAGATGAGGGGGGATAGCAGCTCTGAGAGCAAGCTTAACTTAGCATTTTCATACCATGAAGGTATCAGGACACCCTCCAATTTCAATGAACTTGTCTGACAAAGGATCATCACTGCACCTTTAATTACCTTCTCAAAATCTTCCTTCTCTTTTTCAGGATTTGTGTCATCAAATCTCATGATCAGTTTCCCTTTAAAGTTAACCTGGTAGTGCTGGTTCAGAAGAGCAGCTTTTGCATGCCCAATGTGTAAGTAACTAAAACAAAAACATTTCACAAAGAAACTCATTAACATGCTTTAACTAAAGACTTAAACTTAACCTTTCTGAGGAGATGAGAACTAAACAAAACTCTGTCTAGTCGGTACTCCACTTATTTTACTTCCTAACAAGAAGTATTGTGATAGAAAATATGACACTGACTAGAAGGAAAAAAGGACTACCACATTTATAAAATAACTGTAAGAAATAGTTTCATATGTAAAAGCTCAGGAAGAGACAAGTTATTTACAAACATTATAACCTTAGGGAGAATCTTTTTATTTTTTTCACAGAGAATAAATGGTCGTTTAGTTAGAGGAAAGCTACTTCCCAAACTGTTTCAATGCTACGAGGTAGTGTGTCTTTAATAAGACCTGATGCTACTGAGAACTGGCTGGTGCTAGAGAGAAGCACCTGAGAGGCTGCCACTGTCGCTGTGATAACTAAACGAAAGCGCACATGGGGATTAGGGAGCATAGAAAAGCTACTTCAGTTTTCTCAGAAGCCTAAATAAAAGGATTTTAACTAAATGATCTTGAAGGTCTCATCCAGTACCAACACTCCATGAATCACAACCTATGGAAACACTATTCTGTTCCTACGGGCAGTTCAGTCACAAGGAATAAAATAAATCAGAGGCAATGTTGGTTAATACTAAACATCAACTTCATCCTTTACCAATGAAGTGAGTAAAAAGCAACGTCCTAACCACTTTGCTAAAAAAAAAAAAAAAACACTTTATAGGGCAGCAAACAAGTCATGAAGCACAGAAGCTTAATCGGCTTCACTAATTTGTATTTGTTTTAATTGATAATGGTAGCTCAGTCACACTGTTCAACAGTCACCGAGTTGCACACACAACTCTGATCTCGGTTAATAACAACTAGGAGGAAAAAGCACAATACTTTGTGTGTCTTTATATCAGTTTTTAAATCAATCCTTTTTTTAGAAATCCATGCAGCATTCTAGACCAGAGATTCAATTTTAAGAATGGTTTACAGTCATGGTTAATGCAGACAAGTACAATGCAATACATTTAGGGTTATTCAAAACTTTCTGCATAAATAAAGGGCCATAGTGGTATGCCAGGTGAGATTCCCTAGAACAGAAAAAAGGACATTAGGGAAAACTAATAAAATTTTTAAAAAGGCATGGAATTTAGATAACAGTAATTTCAATATTGGTTCACTAGTTGTGACAAAGCTACCACATTAATATAAGAATTTAACATTAGGGAAGACAGGGTACAGGGTATATGGGAATTTTTTGTGCTACTTTGGCAATGTTCCTATACATTTAAAACTATTCTAAAATTAAAAGTTTATTAAAAATAAAATAGAACTGTGTTATACCTATAACATATTTATAACATATTATACCCATAAAAAGAAATAAGAAAACACTAATAATCAATGAATACCTACTGTATGACAGTTTATGTGCTCGGCTTTACACACATGAATGAATCTAGGAGGGGTGATGAAATCAAACCATTATCTTATACTTAAAGATATTATTTGTGTATCTGAAATAATGTGTGCAGTTCTAACAACTTAAAACCTCAAGAAAGCTAACAGGATTATAAATATTCACAAGATAACTAAAATAATCAACCCAATAAACAACCTATATCACAACAGTTACAGATAATAAGATTCATGCTGCATTAGTTAGTATTGATGCTGAAGTGGGCTTCTGCCACATGCAACAAACACAGGCCTATAATTTTAGGTCATATGGACTCTACAGCCAGACAGCGTAGATTTGAGTTGGCAAGTTACTAAAACACTGTATGAATCAGTTTTGTAAAATGGAGATAATAACAGTGCCTTCCTCACAGGGCTGTTAGTATTAATTAAGTTACTATATGTAAAGTGCTTGATAGTATCTGCACATAACAGGTGCTATATTAATGTTAGCCAAGAATAAGACTAAAAGTCTTTCTGGCCTTTCATGCAAAACATAGAAAAAAAAGATTACAAAAATAATTAAAGGACTCTAGCAATATAAGGGAATATGATCAAAATTAAAAATATTTTAAAAACCTGAACATTGATTTATATTCCAAATCCTAAAACTGTATTCAGCCAGAAGCATCGTCTCTGAAATTGACATAATTTAGAAGATAAACATATTTTATACAGTAAATAATAAACGCAAGGAACGCGCTATCAAGAAGTGACAGAAAATATAAAAAGATTCAAAAAAGACAAATGTTCAAATGGCATACCTATAAACAATCACTGCTAAGAAAGTGGCTTTTATTAAACCATTAAAGTCACTACGCATCGCGATAACCATGGCCTCTCACACGAAATACACAGGAGCAGAAAATTGGGTGCTAGGGACCCAAGATGTCTGTGGGAATTAAACCATGTAAGATAGGTACCATTTATGACTGATTCTAGTCAGTCAACTACCAATCAATCATTTAAAGATTCAGTCTGCAAATTTTCCAGAAGCATTATTTCTCTTTCATCTCCATCTACCTATCCTTTATTTCACTACCGAAATCAGCAAACTTACAGAAGCAGAGCAAAAACGTGGAATTCTAAAACTGGTTTTGCTGTCAATGGCATTATGAAATACTCTGTAAAGAACTATTAAGAACAGCTAAAATAAAACTGTTTCTCTGCCACTTTCTATTGTCCGCACATTCCACTTACCACAGATGGTAAGAATTTAGCCACAGAATACAAAATCTGAAATTAAACAAAATTTGGGGGAAAAAATCATCCCATTTACAAATGGTAGCACAATGCTTTCCTAATGGCTAAGTTCCTGAGACTAAGTGCTTTAATAAGAGGCATTTCATTAGATGATTATCATTGGAAGGGCTCTATTACAAAGCTTGTCTCCGGCTGACCCCAGTGCAAAGGCAGAGACTACCCTCAGCCTTGGGGACACTGATGAAGGCCTGAGGCAGCCCCGGGCTGGTGGCCTCCAGCCGGCACAGTTTTTTTTGCTAATGAGCTATTCAAGTGTTATTATTTTCTCCGGGAGCCAAGAGCAAAAAGGGTTGGGAGACCTGCTAATAATGAAAAGAGTGAATAGGAATGGGCTTTTCAGGGCTTTCCTTCCTTTACTTGGGAAAAAAAACCTTAAAATTAATTCTACCGTAACTTTACTGCAAATGGAAGGATTGCTCAAGTGTACAAATATAAATCCTTATTAAATGAAAGCCTAAAAATCTCAAACTGTAAATGAAACTTAAGCCTTTTTATTTACAGGTGTTTTTCTATTATAATTAAAATTCCATCTGGGGTAAAACACCAAGTTCTCTCTCCTATTGATTTAATAAACTGAAACTACGAATTTAATATAGTAACTGTCAATAATTAAGAGAGTATTAAGATGTTTAGAATTTTAATTCGCACAATTAAAATCTTATTTTCTTCTATATTATTGACCTATTATTAAAAATATTTGGTAGCTGTCTAAATATTTTCCACTAAAGATATTCAATTATCATTTCTTACCCACTAGCCTCTGGAGGAAATCTGACAGTAACCTTTCCCATCTCAGCACCCGGAAGCTCAATAAATTTCCCAACATCTTGCTTTTTTTCAGGGGCCTGAAAAGTAGAACAGCAACACAAATTGTTTTATGTTTAATTGTTAAACGTTCAAGAATACAATCACTCAACAACTACTAGTCAGTACTCACTATGTGCCAGGCATGGTTATGAGAAAAACGGTAACCAGACATCGCCCTTGCACTTGCAGACCCAAAATCGCGTGAAGGAAGTAAATAAAACCAACACCAGTAAGAGATGCATGCATGTATATAGGGTGCTTGTTAGAGCAGTCAACTGAAGTTAACCAACAGCATCTAGGGTCATCAGGAAAAGCTTAAAAGGGGGTAAGGACCAAACTGGACCTTGAAAAATAAGTATATATATATCAGATGGCAAGTGCATACGGGCACTCTTTCCAAGAGCAGTGCGCGCCCATGAAAAGCTAGGAAAGCATGCTGAGTGGGCATTAGGTGCAAACGCGGCAGTCCTTATGAGCTTGGCTTTTATGTTTTAGGCAATGGGGAGTTCTCAGGAGTAGCAGAACCATTCATTTGTATTTTCTAGAATGATACCCAGGACTGTGCAGAGGTGAACTAGAAGAAAAGAGACCAAAGAAGGAAAGTTCAGTAATGAGATGGTATTAAATCAAGCAGCGGGAAATGAGGTCTCAATAAAAATCAACAGCAGTGGAGACAGAAAACAGATCTATAGATATGAGAACAACAGAACTTGATGACCAATTAGATATGAAAAGTGGTAAAGGGGTGAGTGAAGATTTTTAGCCAGACTGAGTGAACTGTAGTGTCTTTATCCAAGCAGATAGTGGTTTTCCAGCTTCACTGCATCGGAACACCTTTAAATTATAACTTTACTACACAAGCATATGTAAAACATATCATGGTAGTAGAGTGACTCAGGCTGGGAAAGAGGACCTTTTCTACTGTCCTCTATGTCACATCCTCCTACACAATCAACAAAAAGGCTCTGCAGAAGCCCAGGACTCAATGGGCAGTGGTTCAAAAACCAGAGAATAGGCAATTTAGGAGGCAGAAAAGGTGGTAGAGCTATAAAATAGAGATTTTAGTTACTTGGAGTTTGGGTTTCCCAAGGGACACATACTGGATGATCATCATCTTTTAGACATATAATTATGAAGATTAAAGCTTTACGTAGTTTAATGGTTACAAAGGCAAGCCAAAACTTAACAAGGGCAGACTCATACAAGATCCTTTTTTTATTCATGAAAAAATATCAACTATGAATAGGAAGGATTTTCTTTTCAGATCTGAGGTCTCAGACAGACTAATACACCAGGATTAAAGAAAGAAAAGAAAGAAAGAGAGAGAGAGAGAGAGAGAGAGAGAGAGAGAGAGAGAGAGAGAGAGAGAGAGAGAGAGNTTTTCTTTTCAGATCTGAGGTCTCAGACAGACTAATACACCAGGATTAAAGAAAGAAAAGAAAGAAAGAGAGAGAGAGAGAGAGAGAGAGAGAGAGAGAGAGAGAAAGAAAGAAAGAAAGAAAGAAAGAAAGAAAGAAAGAAAGAAAGAAAGAAAGGGAAAGAAAGAAAAAGGCTTACCACTTTAGCTTTGGTTGTTGAAACATTCCACTTGGTACCTACTGACTGGAAGGCCTGCTGGGCTTCAAGAAAGCCGAACCAACGCTTTACATGAACCGGAGCTTTATTCTGTTTCAGTTGTTCCTGCCATGCAGCATTTCCTATTAGCAAATGTAATTTAAAAACCATTCAATAAATCTGCAACTTCAAAAGCACAGTTCCAGTCATGGTTAATTTAAGTAAATGAGATGGCTTAAAGTTGTGCTTCTATAATACAATTTTTAAAACGTGGGCATATGGTGAAATTTTTCTAATACTTTCATATATTTTATAGTATTCACAAAAGTAAATTAAAAATATTTCTTCAGTTTAATTCACTGAAGTGAATACTAAATCTTGTCCTCACTACTACCAAACACCCTCTCTAGTGCCAACACTACATATCGTAATTAAGACAAAGTTTTAAGGAGATCAACAAGAGAACAAAATAAAAATTAAGATCAAGCAGTAGCTCATTTCTTCAGGTGAAATATCAAAAACAGGTATGGAAGCAAAGTTTATTTAACATCACAAAGCTATATCCTTAAGACATTATCTTCCTTTCATGAACATTAAGTCCAAAATTAAAATAGATAAAAATGCCTAACCAGAATGAAAAGGTCTAACCAGAAAAGGCCTTCAGTTTATGTTGGTTATTATTCCAACAATTTAATTTAATTTGGAGAAAAGTTTAGGCCACAAAAAAGTAGAAAGAATAAAAAACAAAAACACACAGAACCCAAATTTAAAGAATAAAACATTTTGGCCTATTTGCTCTAGGTCCTTTTTTTTTAAACAGAAAATAAACTAACAAAATTTAAGTCCTCTTTGTAGCTATCATCAATCCCATACTCTTACCTGTTGCAAACTAGTTGCAGAAGAGGGAAAAAGGGACCTCTTAGAGGAACAACCCCAGACCCCCCTCACTCACACCTACTGAGCAGCCAGAGGCAACAGTGCTCGGAGCACATTAACGGCTGAGAGAGACAGCAGAGGTGCTGGCATAAACGGGACAAGGGCTGCCTTAGCAGGAACAAGGCCAGCTCCAAAGGCAAGAGGGGAGCCGGGGTAGTGAGAGCGAGCTGACCTCAGGGGATAGCAGAGGATGGGGAATTCCTGTGACTGGATAGCAATAAAATAGCCAGAGTGGCCATTCCTTTGTAAGGAAGTCCTAAGTGACTGCCGGTAGGTAGGTAGGTAGGTAGGTAGGTAGGTAGGTAGGTAGACAGATGTTCATAAACACGGAAATATGTGTACTTCTTACCCAGTAAAACATTCAATAACTACAACACAACGTTCTTCAAGAAGAATTATTGATACCTTTCAGGGTGGCCCAAACACATAAATCTGCTAAGCTCAAGGAGTTTCCAACTAAGTATGTTCTCAGAGACAGGCCATGATTGAGCTCACTGATTCCAGAAGGAAACAAATTACATGAAGACAGTTTTGTAGCACTGAACTCCAACCAGTGATCAATCTGTAAACAGAAGGACAGAAAAGAAGTACATCCCAGAGTTCACATTTAAACAAAAACAAACAATCTCAGTTAGAACCATGACTTTACCTCAATGACAGAATTTACCATTCTGTGGATTTAATTCTAACTGACTGGGATCTAAATTGGCACTTAAATGAACAGTTTGTTATTATTTTTCTATGCTTTGTTTGCAGGGGCACTGAGGGGTACTTCAGGGAAGAAAAATGAGAAATGGTGGCAAGACTAACCTGATCGAACCCAACAGGTGGTGCCTAGCCAAGTAGATTAATTCACTTGCAGAATTTGAAAGTAGCTACTTAGAAACTATTCTTTGCATTTTGAATTTTAAAAGATCTAGGAAAGTTAGAGCTGAACAGAAATAGCCAAAAAGGAAAAAAAAAAGAAAAAAAAAACATCTAAAGGGCAGTACTGAAAGTTAGCCTACTGTTGGTGTAATTAATTAAATAAGGTATATACTTAGAAAGGAAAATGGGATCCAAACAATGTGTGTGGCCCTGGGCAAACCTCTGAACTTGTCTAGGCCTGTTGCCTCATCTGTAAAGTAAGGGAGCTGCATACAATGATCTTACAGTCACATCCAGCTATGAAATTCTAGGAGTCTAGAAAGAGGAAGACAACACTCAATAAACCAACAGGACAGCTGGTATGGGGTTAAAAGTTCACATTTAGAAGCTAAGAGTTTTTCTCTGAAATTAAAAACAGTACGAAAATTCCTTAACTTGGTTTATAACTAACACTCTGTTAATATCCTCACATAGAATAACTACATAAGCCAACAACAAAATGAAGTCCTCAAAAGAAGAGAAGCATAAATCGAAACAGAACACACTCTGGAAATGTTCATTCCTTACCTCAGTATGTTCCATCAGGTTGGAGCCATAGAGCCTCGCTGTAGCTGCAACTCTAGCCAAGTAGCGAAGTATGGAGTTTATGTCCGTGAATACCACATTTCTAGAATATAAGCATGAGATGAAGAATCGCTGTGGCTCTAGGAAATCAGTAAGTCATGAGACTTATAAAGGAATGTGAAAATAGAAATCTTATTATATTTATCATGTATTTCCTACTACAGTAAAAAAAAAAAAGATCTAATTTGTTCTTTACTGTTTTTATCCTATTCGAATTTGTTCTGAAATGTACAGCTAAATCCAATAATTGACTTCAGAGTAGACTATCTATGTGAGCATCCCTTTATTAGTCTCTACATGCTTATTCAGTGGTGAAAATATGAAAATATACTTGGGATACTGAGAATAACAGTGGTTTAAAATACATCAAGGCCATATCAAGGATATACTGTCATAAGCTAGTTTTATCACTTCCAGGTAAAGATGGCAGATTAAACCCCATCAAAATTGTTTTGTAAAAATTATTATTTTTTAAACAACAAAAATTTATTCTTCCGTAGTTCTGGAGACTAGGGGTCAAAGCAGGGTGTCTGCAGGGCCATGCTCCTTCTGAAGGCTCTGGGGAAGGAGTCCTTCCTGCCTCTTGTTTCAATACTTGGTGTTCTTGGCTTGTAGCTACATCACTCCAATTTCTGCCTCGGTCTTCATATGGCCCTCTTCCCACTGTGTATCTACTCTTATAAGGAAGGACGCCAGTAATTGGTTTGGGAGTCTACCATAATCCAGTATGACTTCATAAAAATTGTTTTTTAAAAAGACATAAAACTATAAAGAAAAAAGAGACTATGGAGATGAGACAATAGCAATAAAATAATTCTTACCAAATTTATTTGTTTCCTATTATTACTGATTCAAATACTTATTTTCCACCAGAATAAATTATAATGAAATTGAAAATCCTTATGTATAAATCTTTCTGTACATTTCTAGTTTCTTTTAAACAGATTACAAGAGGAATCCGATAGCTTGCTGACAAATATAAGTCTCTGGATATAGTTCTTCCAGAAAGAAAAGAATATTTTTTATAGGGACAATCTACCAATGAGCAAGTAAAATAAGCATATAACATTTAACCCTGAAATGTAAAAATGCTCTTTAGTACTGAAAACAAAGATACAAAAGCACTTACTCAGACACACGAAGAATATTCTCTTTCCCTTCTTCAACAGAAATGCTGACGTTGTCTTTCACATGTTCTACTGCCAGCAAAGCGCCTAAAAATAGTAAGATAAAAAGATTTCTCTTTATCAACAAAGTAGTACTTAAAACTGAAATCACAAAGCAGTAAGGATGACTCAACAAGCCAATATTAAGTCCTGTAAAGACTAAACTTTCCCCCAGTAGTCTGTAAACAGAAAGTACTATAGTCTCTTGGTCTCAGAGAAATAACAAATCAGGCACAGTCCAATTACTTTTGAATATGCTCAGCTTCCAGATAGGGACTCTGAAATTAATCTTCTCCTCCCTCAGGAGACAAGAAGAAATTAGAGTCGCGTCTTGTATAAAAGCTATTGTAACTAGCATTTGAGTGACTGCTACGTGGTAGGCAGTGTGCTAAATACTTTAGTCATTATAATGTTTAATCTTTGTAGTAACCTAATGAGGTAGACACCTTTACGTCCATTTTACGGAAGAGGAAACTAAGGCTTGGAAGGGTTCAATAACTAGCCCAAAGTCCTTGACTAAATATGTGGCAATCAGGATTTGATTCCAGGTCTAAGGCAGTCCAGAATTCGAAACCTAAAACACTGCCTCTCAACACATAAATTGATTCATTAATCCTTTGTCCCAAATTCTGGCAACCCATCCGATGGAAGCTATTATCCCTCCTTTCTTAAACAAGGAAACCGAATGTGGGGGCCAAACAAGGTATTTGCCAAGGTTCCAAGGTTCCAGTTAAGTAGCAACAGGGATTGGAAAAAGGTCTCCAGGAACCAAACGTCTTTGCTCGTAACTACGAGGGTACACTGTCTAGGGCTCTGGCAGCCCAAGAACCAAACCCGTTTCTTCTCGAGTTTATTGATTTATGTGAGGTTAGCCCATAATTACTGGACTTATGCTAAAAACATGAGCGTTTTTTAAAACGTTTCAAGTGGCTACTAAATGGTGGCGTTTTGTTACAATACACGCAGAGCACCCAAGTCTAAAGCCTAATGCGTAATTCATCAGCTCTGTGTGGCCAGTTGTAGCTAAAGATCTGAACATTCGACACGTGTATGTCTGCAGCTACACACACACATGCATTAACAAAACGAGATCAATAAGCTCATTTTTCTGTATGTCACTTTCCCAAAGTAAGAAGGCAGACATTCTAAGCTATCCATCCACAACCTTGGCCACGTTGAAAATGCAATTCCGAATCCAACTTCAGGTGTATCTGGAAGGTGACAGGTCCAACGTTTCGTCTGACACTTCCTACAGCGACAGGGCGTGGAGTTAAGGCAACCCCATTGGCCCGCAGGGTTTGGGTGCTCCAGCAATTACCCTGCCACCTTTAATTAAAAATAAATGCAACCTCTGCTGCCATTTCCAAAGCGACTACGATCCGTCTGCCTTGTTTGCTTTGAACCCAATGAAACGTAAAGAAAAGTCAAACAGATTGAAGATCTTTTCTAAAACGAAGGCGGGAGGCATGGTCCAGAAACATCAGGGGGAAACGCTAAAAGACGGGGAAGCGAAGATCATGGGATTTTAAGTTTTAAAATGTTGTTTCTACGAGCAGCTCTCGTTCTCCAGGGGAAACCGTGTCAAAAAGGCACACGACGGGTTGGCTGGGTGCCATCCCGCTGAGAGAACGGGTCCGAGCTGAGCCTCATGTCACCCCGCTGTCGCGGCTCCCGCGGCGCCTCCCTCCACGCCCGAGAAAACTGTCTTCAGGTGCAGGGCCTGCCGGGGGACTGACGGCGAGGGGCGCCAAGGCTACTCGGGGTACAGATCGGGGGAGAGGCGCAGGCCTCGTCTCCCGGCTCGTGGTCGCCACTGCGCAAAGCCGCGGCGCGGCGACCTTCCGCCCCGCAGCCGCCCAGGCTGACGCAACCCACACGCAACCCACGCGGATCGGCAGCCTCGGCCCTTACCCAGAGGCGGGTCTCCGGAGTTCACGGTCAGACAGAGCGTCGCCATCTCCACCGGTCGACGGGTCTACCAGTCAGTGCGCCTGCGAGGCCGCCGAACCACCCCGGAGCCGCCGACAGCGAGAAGCTGCAACGTGTACGCACCGGACGCTGCCGCAGCCTTCGCCCCGCCCCTGCGCCGTGGCCGCCGCGCTTGGCGCACACCACGTGCGTCATCGCGGCGCGCCCTTCGCCGGTTTCACGGCCTTGGACCCTGCCCCTTGTCATTTAGGGTCCGCAGGGCCTACGTGGCTTCCCCCGTTGCTATGGGGAAGACGCTGGAGCTGATGAGACTTACAGTATTTCGGAGAGCGAGGAAAGCAAGGGATAAGACCGTTTCTACAGTGTTAGGGGCGTTCCCATGAAGCACGAAACAACACCCAAAGCGGGTTGTATATTGTCGGTGGGCACTGCCCCCATTTGTCTTGGCTTTGTTTGCCTGGACTGCGCGAGCGTACTTTACACAGGGCCATTTGTTTTCTTCTCATGTCCTGCGTGACGTGTGTGTGTGTGTGTGTATATATATATATATATATATACACACACACACACACACATAGGCGCGCACGCGCCTGTGCTGCAGACATCGTCCAGGGCTGCTATTAGGGCTCAAGGGGTCCAGGACTTGCTCTTAAACCCCCTCGAGAGTGCTGCTTAGATTAAATATGGGGCTTGAGTGCTTAATGCAGCTATAGAGGCGTTTCCACCTGTCCCAACCCACCGCTAAAGATTGCTGTCTTTATATAGCCAGCCTCTAGTAGGACAGGCTCCTGCATCAGAACAAGACTTCTCCCCCTACCCCTACCTTCCTATCAGTCTCTAGGGATGGGATGCATAATCTCATTTTACGAAGTTCTCCAGGTGATTCTATGCACACCAAACTCTGCCTTTTCAACCTCCCTTTGTTGAAATTGATTGCTGCGCACCCTGCTAGCTCTTAAGATTCTTGTTTGCTGAAAAACCTTATCTCAGACATCTTTGGATTCCCTGCAGTGCCTGGCACAAACTGAGTCCTTCCTACTCTATCATAATTAGTACCAGGAAAAGGCCGCAAAGCGACTGATTGCTGCGGGGGGGTGCGGGGACAGTGATACAAAATTTACTTTGAAAAATATACCACACAAAGGCAAGCATGATTATACTGATCTAAGCATGGCTGATGGTGCTATTCTAAGCATGAATTTTGTTGCTGCCAAATGAAATAAATGGTCTGTAGAAGCTTGAAGATCAACTCACCATTGAGAAATTAATAGCCTGGCAGGCTCATAGAATATGAGCAAGAGAGATGTGGGTTTGTATTTACCTAAGTTCAAAGTGGAAACGACCCGTGACCTCAAGATCATGCTGGGAGCCACTGGATACTGGACACCTTCAGTCAACAGGGCACCAACTTCTCGGGCATGACCAAGAGCATCAGTATCATGGTGTCTAAAATCCTACACAAGTCCTATGTGGAGATGACTGAGGAAGGCATGAAGGCTGCCACTGATGTTGTTCCAACATCATCAATTTATGCATTTTCCTTGTTGAGAATTTCATTAAGCACAGTAAGATCAAGGTGGAGTCTCTCCCCCTTAGATGCTATTAGCCTGCCACTCCTTTTGGGAAAAGTTTAGAGTTGTTCCAGTAAATTGATTGCTAGAATAACAGGTTCTCTTTGATTTATTTTCCTTTCCAGTCTCATAGTCATCACTAAGAATTTAATAGTCTCTCTCTCTTTCCACTGACACATGTAAACCTACTTTTGCCATTAAAACTCCCTTTGGACAAAATCTTCAACATCCTGATAAAGGGATATTTCAATAGTGTATCTTCTAAATTCGAAATATTCTGTTTGTGACCTGTTTTAAATAAACCTAAGTTATTCCTGCTCTTCAAACTTATGAACAGACACCCACATTTCTCTGAATTTAGGTGATACCTGGGACCCTTACATGTCTAAATTTTTAAAAAAGTGTATACAGTACATAAGTAAAACAATGAATTACTGAAAAGAAAATACTAACACAACTGATACCGTGTATTATCATTGCATTGTTAACATTCTATAGTAATCACTATTTTAAGCTTACCATTTTATATTGTAATTGCATATATTGTCTTTTGTGTTATAAGCTTCTTGCACACTGTACCTTTTGTTTCACATCTTTTATCCATTTGCACTTTCCTCTTGCCTGGAGTAATTTTCTCCCAGGTTTTCATGACTGACTTCTTATTTAAATCTCATATCTGAATATACTTTCACATACGTTTTGATGCCTTTAAGTTTTTTTTGGCTAATCTTGCACTTTCTTATCTATTGCCTTTCAGACATAATTTTTACAGATTAATGTCTTTTAAAACACACACACACACACACACACACACACACACACACACACAAAAGCAAGAATTGGAACTACTATCTGTTTAGACTTGTAAAGATGGTCCCATAATCTGTTTAGCCTCATGTTGATGGTCTATCTCAGCTAGTACATTTTTCTAGCAGCTTCACTGAAATATAATTCACATACTATACCATTCACCCATTTAAAGTATACATTCAATGGTTTTTTAGCATATTCAGAGTTGTCCAATCATTAGCACAATCCATTTTAGAACATTTCGTCACCCTAAAATAAACCTTGTATCCTTTAATAGTCAATTTCATTTCCCCTCAATGTTTAAAATTTGTTTTTTAAATTAAGGCTATATATGGCCCCTGCCTGCCTCCCCAACCTCACTTTATAACACTCTTCCCCTTGTTCATTTTACTTCGGCCTACTCTAGCTTCCTTTCTGTTTATTACTTTTTTTTCTCAGAAACATTGTGCTTGTTATTCCCACTAGAAGTCCCAGCTATTGGCATCCAGTTTCCGGCTCATCCATCACCCCCTGCGAGATTATACTACACTATCTTACCTAGTGAGTTCTAAACTTAATAGATTATGGAAGTCCCTGGAAATACACAGAATCAAAATGGCTGGGGTGGAGCCTGTGATGGTATTGTTTTTAAAGCTTCCTAAGTGATTCTGAGATACAGCTGGGTCTGAGAAGGGTCAAACCACTTGCTTAATCAAATAACAGGGAAGTTTATTTAACAGACTGGACAGAGACTAGCTAGAATTAAATAATTTAAAGAAGCGTTCCCCATAAATCTGTTTCATCAACATACATAAGGACATTTTATTGTATTCATACCTGGAAAACTTGGAACATTATTGTGAAAAACAAAAATGAGATTCAGATAACAACTTGTGCTTCTGTGCCCTAAAGGAATCTGGTTTATACACTAGGAATGTGGATTAAACAGTTGACCAGGGTAGTCAGTTGGAACTGAATCTTCCTTTCATTTCTCCAAATAAAAGGAGGAAAAGAAAAGTGACAGGCTTTACAAATTCTCCAGATGTCAAAAGTGGTCTGGTTGATTAATGATTCAAGAAATTTTAAAATTCGATTTTCTGCTCCCAAGTCATTAAATATAAATCGCTGATCATCACTGAGTAAAGGTGGAGCTCCTCATGCCCTCTGACTCGTTTTAAAATCTATAATTTTGAGAACCAAGTCCTTCTCTGGCCAAGTAAACAAGATGTCCCTCTAAGGAACAAGTGCGTTTTTAACAGATTCAGGAACTCGACTTGCGTAGTAGTCATAATTCCTCAGCGTGGCCAGGACGCCTGCAGAGTTCATGTGCTTCACTTCCTTGTTGTACTGAAGGGCATTTCCATGAATGTCGGTTAACTTGCCTACAGAAAACACATCGATACAATGTCAAGGGCTGATTGGATCATTAGGTTTCCAGTTGTTTTTAAGTGCCCCTTGCTTCCCTATGCAATAATATCCAATTAATTCTGGATAAAATAAGGAAGATAGTGGTTAAGTGTTAATTCACTTGAAATTTAAGACTACAGAGCAATTCTGACTGATTTCATTAAAATAATTTCATTTAGCATTTTTGGTATCAACTAATTTCTCTTTTCCTGAGTTGATTACTTTTTGTATTTGTTATAATTCATCACCACTATCCCCATTTTCAAATGTGATTTTTTTTTCTACCATTTAATATTGAACACTTTATGTTCACAAAATATATCTGTATTATAGTTTCTTGTAACATCCTAGTGAGAATGGATCATGATGGATTTAACTTCCTTGTCATGTAATATGTTAATCACATATTGACACAATAATATACTAGGAAAAATGATAAAATAAAAAAATCAAGTGTTTAATAGTAGATGTGACCTGGGCCGGCTGAGTGGTTCAGTTGGTAAGAGTGCAAACTCTGAACAACAGAGCTGCAGGTTCAATTCACACATGTGCCAGTAAGCTGTGCCCTCTCAGCTAAGATTGTGAACAATAGCTCGACCTGGAGCTGGGCTGCCATGAGTGGCTGGCGACAGTGTAGGCTGCCATGAGCTACCATGAGTGTCTGGCAGCCCGCGTGGGTGGCTGGCAGCCAGCGAGAGCTGCCATGAGCGGCCATCCAATGGCCAGCGAGCGACTGCCTCCACCTGGGAAGAGCGCAATGATAATACCAACATGGGCCAGTGAAGCAGCATCCTCCACAACTAGACTGAAGAACAAAAGGACAGCAACTTGTCTGTTCTGCTTCCCCGATTCCCCGACGCTGTTCCCTCCCCCAATTCCCTAATAAAATCTTTAAAAAAAAAAAAAGAGTAGATGTGACCTGATGTCTATTTGAAATTGAAATAATCTTACTATGTATATATTTGTGATATAGTTTCAGATTAAAAAAAATTCTAACTCTGATCTTCAGCATTAGAACTGACATATTTACCAATATTGGCTTAAAAGAAACTGAGATGATATGCATATTTTGCTTTTCAAGAAAAAAAAACCCTAAAAGCATTAAAGCCATAAATTTAAAATGTTTGATTAAATTAACTACATGCAGATCAAAGTTCAAAAGAGAAACTAAAGAAAAATGAATTGGCTTTCTCCCCTGTGAAATGTGGGGGTTGAACTGGGTAATCTCTAACTATCCTGAGTCTAGCTAGGTAAAGTAGTATTACTGAATGTCTTAGCATAATATGAGAATGGTATACAAACTGGAATTCCCCCAAACAAAATGGACTAACCTCCCACAGCATGTAAAATAACTTCCGGAGCACAGGTATCCCACTTCTTACATCCAGGACTTGCAAATACATAAGCAGAGGCTTTGCCTTCAATCAGCTGAATAATCTGTAAGGTTAAACATAATAATTATCCCTCAACCATGAAACGAATGAGGTAAAATAAGAAAAAAATTGCTTGTTTCTATCAAGTATATTTCAGTTCCTTCCCTACTTAGATTAAAGCCTTTAGCAGGTTTCAATGACAAAGGTATTGTGAAGAAACACAGAGTACGTGCATAGTAATATAGTCATCTGAGGGGAAAAGAGCAGTTAACAAGCTACAAGGAGGATATCTGAACAGTCTCCATATTCCAAGTTAGATAAAATAAAGTGGGGGTTTTTTTACGTTGTTTTTCCTTCTTACTGTAAAAACCATACTGTAGAAAAATTAAAGTTTCTAAATCTTGTAAACAATTGACCATTATTATATAAAGAATAGAGAAATATCAATCACTGCAATAATGTATACATTGTAATAAGTCCTAACAGATGTGTGATGCTAACTAGTCTAACAAGTTGTTTCATAAGTCTGCAGAATCATATCTATTGCTATTTCCACTACCAAAATATACATTTTTAAAGAGTCATCTTAACAATTCCTGTAATACTCTTCTAAAACTGAGGTCATTGATAAAAATTGCATGACTCAAAACAGTGACTGGCTATCAAGCGTTCATTAGTCCCTTCACTTTTCTTTCGGTTATACTGTCAAATGATTAGTACTATAAAACTCAGACATCAAATATTCAGATGAAGAGATCAGACTGGGAGAATGAGGAGAATCTCAGTGAACACAATGTAACCAATTGTTCCTTTCAGTGCTATTTAAGGTCTAGGAAGTAATCCAAGAGGGTCCTTGAGAAAATCAGGGCGGGCAAGAGGCACGGGCTCTTATCTTAATAACTGAATTCTCTTAGATAAAAAAGACATGAACCTTGACATTTTTAAACATGCAAATGCTGCTGAAATGTGCTTTGAATGGCAAATTACAATCTTTAATGTCTTCTCCAAACTCTTCTTTCACATGTCTGAAAAGCTCAGTACATCTTTCCATGATTTGGTTGCATTTCGGGGTGGATGGCAGACGGTATCATACCTTATTTCCTGCTCCTCCCACTCGCAGCACATCATCAGGGTTCATGGCAGTAACACAGTCCGTCACCAGCTTGTTGCTATGGGATCGGGTGGTCGTGATAATGTGTTTCCCAGAAGGCACTTCTTTCAGCTGAAACCCAAAGGCACCTAAACCTAAAACTCCCCAGATTGTCCTTCCCAACACAGCATCTGGTCCTGCCTATGTAAATGGGTAAAACGACAGCAAAGCTTGTAATTATCTTAGCCATAAACAGGATAGTTACATCAGCAGCAGCATTTTTAAAAAATAAAACACAGTACAAAAACAATATCACTGACAAAGAAATTTTCCCCAGAGAATCAACTGATTACTCTCCTTGTTCCTTTGGTTAATAATCGGGTTTCCAAGGTACTGAAGGGAGCTTTTGGTTATTCCCTGGAGTCCTCAGGGAAGGAAACATCGTATGATTTCTATTGCTCTCTGAATCATCAAATAATCTCATTATTGTATTTGAAATAGCTCTTTGCCAAAGATGCTGAAGTCTCCAGGAAATGAAAACACTGTGTACATATTAATGACTACTTTTCAATATCCAAGAAACAATGAGGATCATGTTATTATGGGAATAGGCAATGGTGATAACGCATTTTGCTGCTGTGGAGATGGGGCAACTGAATAGGCTGGTACTGAAGAGCAGCCATGGAAAATGGGGGTCAAGGTCAAAGATTTCACTGGCAACTGTGGTAGTAAAATGACAATGATAATGTAATCTTAGAATCTGTTCTTTTCCTTTGCAGAGCTCAAAGAACTTGCAACCACATTGTTCTAACTATACGTGTCATACAGAAAAACATAACCTGTATTTCATGGAAAGCAAAACTGATGCATGAGATGATGAACACAAAGTATCAACGTACCATTATGTAACCTAATAGATATACATTGTAGACATACAGACACAAGGTTGCACAAACTTTCCACCCTGCACGTATATTTTGCTGGATACATAACGGGTACCAGGCACCATACTAAGAGCTTTACGTGTATCATCTCATTTAATCTCCAAAACAAGCCCATGAAGCAGGTATTACCATCCTTACTTTACAGATGAGAAAAATGAGATTGGGAGTTGTTTTAAGTAACCTGACCACAGACTCGAGGAAAATCATAACCAAACTTAGGCTCATGTGTGTTCAAAGCCAATATCCCTCATCATTAACCTACAATGCCTCAGTTTATTGTCAAAATGCTTTCAAGCACATCATCTTATTTGGCCTATAACAGTACCTTGGGGGCTGTTACAGTGAAACTGGCTTCTGTGGCAGGTTGGATCCCTTGGGAAGCAGCCTCTGAGACAGGTAGGCTGTTTATTAAGGAATGCCCTTGGGACCAACACCCATGGAAGGGAGGGACGGCATCATGAGAGGACAGAGGGAGAAATCAAGCTGCGATGCAGACCCAACAATAGCTTCAGATGCTAAGATTGCATTGTCATTGTCATTTTACTACTACAACGACCCTAGGGGGAGCTCTGGAGCTAGAATGGCTCTTCAAGGCTGTACCAAATGGGACAAAATGCCAGGCCTTTGCACCGCTGCAATAATCAGTCACTAGCAATGAACTGCCTGGGGAACAAACGTGTCCCTGGGCGAAGCAGCTCTGTACACGTGACAGCTGAAGGCTGTCTGCTGATTTCACTCCCTGCAAATAGGGCACCAAAGGCACCAAAGAACAAGCACTAGGGGAAGGGGAGGGTCAATGCACGTTCATGCGCTTCCTCTGTTCCCTAGAGTCTGTACTATGGAAGAGGCTGGAGTCTGAAAAGCAAAGACGGGCTCTCCAGGGGCCCTGGGTGCTCATGAGGCTTCAGCTTGATTGCTGAGACTAATTTCATGCACTCAAGAAACCTGCTTATTAATTCAGCTCTCCAGTTATTCTGCAACAGAGGAAAGCATTCTAAATAGTGGGCATGAGTATTCGGGTCTCTAAAAAGTCCTATTTCCTTTGTAAGTGAATATGGAGGCAAAGAGGAAGGGACCACGGAATGTGGCACCCCGGTGACATAAACACAGCGCCTCCCTCAGTCTCTCTCACTGTCTGTCCGTCAAAGGCTCTACACCAATTTTCTGGGGGTAACGAAGGCTAATATTCTCATCTTACTGATGAGTTCATTAAATCCCATAATGGTTAAGAAGCTAGCTCCAATACAACGATAGACTGGGTTTCTTTGCACCAAGCCACTCTGTTTCCTTTATGTTCCTATCAGCTTCAGTATCTGTTAAAAGCAATCATAGAGTTTTAATTGCTAAAAGGTTTTTATCTGGCTTATGGGAGTTAAAGTAATGGGGAAGGGCTTGGTCCGGGGTTTGAATCCCTGATCTGCCATTGACATACTGGGTGGCCCAGGGTAAGTCACTTGCCTCAGTCTCCTTTTCTTTAAAACTGGAAAGGTTTCCTTAAAGGATGAAGGTGACTATTAAATGAGATAATGCATGTGAATTCCTTGAGTCTGGCAGTATGCAGTAAGCTCTTGATAAATTTTAGCCATTATAATGATGACGATTATTTAACATTGAATATTCAGCCTTGAATACGACCAACAGAGCTGAGCAATTTTCTATTTGTTGCACCAAATTTTAAGGCATTAGCAAGAGAGAAGGAAGAGAGAGGGAAAGGAGAGTGTGCAGGAAAGGTGGTAAAGGGACAGGTGACAATGGGGAGAAGCAGAACAGGGGAAAATGAACTGGTACAAGGAATGGAAAATGACTAGCTGGGGTACAGGTTGCCTCCCTCTTTTCTAGCTGCTAGTGGAGCCAAAACCCTAGCTCTTTTTCTCACCTTTGCTTCATGCCTGTGTTCCCTTAACTTCTGCTTTCCATTGTTCTGTGGAAAATGAATACAGTTTTTCTGATCTCAGAAAAAAGTGATGGAAATTATTAACAACGTCTAAGCACTCAGATCATTTTTTTGATAAAGGCGCCATGCATTACAATGTTATCTATGAATGAAATGTTTCTTTTAAGTAACAGTATTAACATACTTTAAAAGTTTACATAACTACAAAGTTGCAACTGTACATAAAAATGTATAAATATTAAACATGTTAAAAGAATTAATGGACCCTTACACAATTCAATATGACAGACTTTCCCAATACTGCATAACTATTTTTGCTAAATAATCCTAAGAAGCACATGATTATAAATAAAAGTTTATAATCATGCAAATGATAGAATAAAACAAATTCATCTTAGAAGTAGAGATTAATCCTGCTGTTAACGCAAATGGAAATTCAGAATAGTCCCTACTCTGGTTACCTGTTTCTTCAAAATTCTGTCAAGGTCACACTAATGTAAATATTACAAGTATTTTATCTCAATAATTTCCTTTAACATTTAATGTGATTTAATGATATATTTCTGCTTTGGAATTACATTAATCTCTTGCTTCTAAGGAAGACAATTGCTTGGGATTATAATAGAAAGTCAAAGTAGATTAGAGAGAAAAATAAGAGAAAAGGATGCAAGAGCATATTTAGTTCTGCTATCAATGCTGACTGCAATTTAGGCACTCTGTGGTATTACCTGGAAAACAACATGGCTACCATCTTTCTTGGTTGAAATGGTTCATTTCTTCAGTGTGCTTCAAGAACCACCTGTAAATCAGGTGTCTCAGTGACTAAGCTAATCCAAGAACCATATCACTAATTCCCAAACTTTTGCATTTGAATCATAAGGCATACATAAAAAAATATATATGTAATAAGCAGTGTGTCTACATACACACATTCATACATACTATACATTCCTGGTATCAGTGCCCCCAGAGGTTCTGATTCAGTAGGTCTGGGGTGCAACCTGGGAATCCATATTTTGAAAAGATGACTGCATGTACAAATAAATAAGCTATAAAAATCACTGGATTCGAAAATATCAGGAATCATGTAACACTATCATTATTTACCTAATAAAATACTTTTGTGTCAATTAGAGCAATACCTGGTAGTTGTAATATGGCTGGTTAATAACTCCTGCTATGGCTTTCCCTTCATAAGCAATTCCAATAAGAACTGTTACATTGTCAAGAAGACCTATAAAGAAGAAATGAATATCAATTACAGAACTGTCTCATGTCGTGACTCAGCATCAGCACATCAATTGCTCCAAGTTATTTTGGCAGTAAAGGTAAGGGATTTGCAATGATTCATCCGTGATCAATCCCACAAATTATGAGAGAGAGCCGGCCAGAGACAGAAGTAGGGTCTACGGCCACTTAGCTGAATTGATGCACATGGTTTCATTGGTACAATTTGATAAACCAGCCCTAACTGCCCCAGCCATTATCATTAAATTCCTCTGGGTCCCCTCAGCCACCATCCAACTCACTCCTGCCTGCTGATCTCTCTCTATTCCAGGATTATGCTCTAGACTTGCATTTCTTTTTTTGAGGGGTGGGGTATTGTTGGGGAATTGGGGAAGGGGAACAGCCAAGTTGTTGTCCTTCAATCTTAGTTGTGGAGGGCGCAGCAAGCTCAGCTCCAAGTCCAGTCGCCATCTGGCTGCCAGTGGACACCTCGCGGCCACTCAGCTCAAGGTGTTGTGTTCAATCTTAGTTGTGGGTGGGCGTAGCCCACCATCCCATGCAGGAATTGAACTAACAGCCTTGTTGTTAAGAGCGCATGCTCTATCCCGAGCCACCCGGGCGGCAGCTCAGCTCAAGGTTCTGAGTTCAGTCTTTAGTTATGGGTGGGCATAGCCCACCATCGAACAGGCAACCTTGTTGTTAGGAGCACGCGCTCTCACCAGTTGAGCCATCCTGCCACCTGTTGGCAGCTCAGAAGCAGCTCAGCTCAGTCACAGTTCACTGGCCCATGTGGGAATCCAACCAGCGACCCTGTTGCTCAGTTTGTGCTCTTAAGCTAACTCTTAATCAACTGAGCCACTTGGCCGGCCCTTAGACTTGCATTTCAAGCCTCTAACGTAAGGATTTTCAAAGTGGGGTCCATAGACTATCAAGCAGCATTAGAATTCACTACATTACAATACAGGTTCTCGGGCTCCTTCCCAGAGCCAGTGAATCCAAATCTCTGCAGGTGGGGTGCTCTTACACACCCTAAAACTGGCTAGAGCTTCCCTATTTCTCAGTGGAGTACAGAGGTGTTTTCAGGGCACACACATGCATACACACGCACATACACGCTCAGTGTAGGTGACTCACAGATAATGTCTCATCCAAGGACAGAGGGAGTTTTTTCTAGTAATTATGAGAAACTTTCTTTTTTCAAGCTATAAAGCCAAGAACCAACATAAAAAAACCTACGTAGATCTTTAAGTCAGAAATAAAACTTTCAGCTTACGCTACACTCCTAAAACCTAAAACTCTGGCTGAGCCTGGTCTTTCTTACTTTCATGTTGCCAATTTTATTTCAATTTGCTGCTTTCTGATTTTTCTCATCTTAGATAATTTCAGAAAGGAGATATACTGTACTGTGTTTTGAAACCCACCTTTAAAGGTGAAGCTGTAAAGTGAGAAAGCAGTTCAAGGACAAGTGGGTCCCGCGTAGAAGAGGTGTGTGGCAGAAAAGGGGCAGTACAGCTGCGCTTTCAACAGTTTTCTACCCCAATAAAGCTGGGGGTTCAGGAAAATCCCTTTGGTAACATCGGTTTAATGTTAGCTGTTCTCACCTGGGGGACATTAGAATTGTGGGGCTGTGGGGTCATATTTAAAGGAGATGAATTTTCTCCTTCTCTGTCTTGACAACCACTGGTGTGTAACAGTTAGCTAGGATGGGCACAGATACAGCTTTAGGGTACATACATAAAATGTGACACTGGCTTTTCATACAACATGTGAAATATTAAATGTTTACAACTAAACATACACTAGGTCCTACTGCTGTCGAATACAAACACAAGAGATACCAACCTTCAGTATATTCTTTGGTACCGTCCAGAGGATCAACCCAGACCACAAGCTAAAAAAAGAAAATATCCAAATTCAGCATACAGACTATAAAAAAATAAGTTTAAATAGATTAACTAAAACTACACTTTTTTTCATTGTTGACATTATATTATAGATGGCTTAAACCAATGTCATTAGTTTTGTAACGGTTAAAAAAAAATCTGTTGTTTTGTAATCAGGGGAAAAGTCCATTTAAATGAGAGAAAAGCCTGATTTAAGAATTTTAAATATGACATGCTTAACTAAGAAAAGCTTCTTGTCAACGGAACACTAAACACAATGCCATGAATACACTGAGCTTTAGATGGTGGTACCGGGAAAACTTTTAAATGGCACCAAAATATTTTGAACACTATGTGGTTGCTACTCATTTTTATATATAAATGCTTATTTTTAAAAAATGACAGTCCGATGATCTTAAGATCACCATTTATATATGACAAAGAAAATGAAATGGTTTATAACATTGACAGTAGACTAAAAAAAAAAAAAAAACTTCTATACTTAATAATTTTAACAATATTCAGCATATGTGGCCTTTAACCATGAGACTTATTTGAGGGAGAGCCTGTTTCTGATGGAAGACACCACGTCTC